GGATCACCTAGCTCAGTGTTTCTCATCTGAGATGCAGGGATAAGCAGTTCCTCAGCCTATTTTCACAGGTACCTAAGCATTGCAGCCTGGTTAGCATCTCCTTATTATCTCCAAATGAGGTATAACACTCTTGTGGGTTTAAAAAAAAAAGCTCTATGGTCAAGTTTTGTTGTTGTTTTAGGAAGCCAAATAAACTTAGGGATGAAATTCGGTCATGGGAGGTGGTTCACTGAAGTTGATAACGAGTGGATCTGTAAAACAAGGACCTTGACAAAAGAGTCATATGAACAGGGTTTTAAGGAAAGGGATCTGAGAAAAAATAGCTATGACAGAAGTAATGGCAAGGTGGTGTTTAAAAAACAAGTATTTAGAAGATGAAACTCTGTATATGACAGGATCAAAAGGGCAAATGGAGCTGAACAATGGTGACCAGGATTTGGGAGATGGGCAGATTGGGTCTCCCTTTTCTGAGGTCAAAATGCCAGAAGGAAATAATAAAAATGCAAGGTTAATATTTGTAATTTTTACCATTACCAGGTAACAAAGGAAAAAAAGTAAGACAGGTTTAATGAGTGAACTGAAATAAAGTTGGGTAGGAGGAAAGAAAGTGGCAGGTTTATTTGGCTCAGTGAGTCACAATGTCTTCAGAGCCAGTATCTGTGCTTCACTGGAGGAATTATAAATTATGGAACTCCCTGCTGTAGACTAATCAGTGAAGCAAAAAATGTGGCCATTTCCAAAGCAGTGATTTGTATTTGATTATTGCAAAGTCTCTCTAATGTGATTGCCATCACCGGTTTACTGCCATTTTGTATCACATGAGTCCTCTCAAGTGGTCTTTTTGGATAGAACGCTTAAAAAACTTTGATTTTGCTTACAGTTGTCCATTGCTCAGCAACAGCCCTACAGGGCTTTGGACAGGGAGGTTTTCCAACCTGATTCATCTTGTGACCTTTTGAGTGCAAGGCATGTGGTTTTCCATTGAGCTATTGCTCTGTGCAAATATGAGGCTACAAAATAATACAATGAGTTATAGAGGCTGTTTGTGCATGACACTTTACAATTTAAGCATAGCCCTAGGCTAGAGTTCAAATATATTCACAGGCTCCTGACTTGTTTCATGTGTCATTTCTAAGTTGACACTTCTCGTTATATCTAAAAATTAGTAATTATAGCTGAGATGACTTTAACATCAAATAACATTAACTAACATTTTTACAAACTTTTGATCCAGTTTAAAGCTAAAGGCCTGTTTCTGGCATTGCACAGCTTGCCTACAACCACGCTTAAGTACATGATTGCTAAAAGAAGTGTTAATAAGTGCCAGAATACTCCCAGTAGCCAACTTATATAGTGCTTCCCTGGGGCCTTGGAGATTATTTCTGCTCAAATAAACCACACAGAAGACCTGCTCATGAGCATTATTTCTAAATCAAGGTGAATAGCCCATAGTGTTGTTCTATTCTGTTTGACAGGGCAATTGGACTCTGTATGTGATGAGAAAAATATCCTAAAACCTAACTAGAAAAAAATGATAATATTATTAGCCTAATAATAAAGGATGGACAGAGATATCAATTAAAATAAGAGGAAAACCAAGTAATTAAACCATTATTTATATCATCATAATCACCTTTATTTATATCATACCTTACTCCCTATGGGGACTCAAGGTGGCTAACAATCCACACTAGACAAGTTTTTAAATGCAATATAAAAGTTAAAAAATAATTAAATAGTGTGGTAAAAAAAAGAATTAAAATACAATAAATGGTCTTTAAAACGGATATCCCCCTAAACCCACCCATCTCCCCAAAGCCTGCGCAATAATAATAATAATAGTAATAATAATAATAATAATAATAACTTATATCCAAACCCCTCTCCCCGAAGGGGCTCGAGGCAGCTTACAGCAATAAAACAAATTCAGAAAATAATATGGCAATAAGCAGTATACAACAAAACAATTATTACTTAGTACAATTAAAATGACATAATAACATAAGCATTAATAAATGACAGGTTAAAAACTATTTGCCCTCTAAAAACAATCTAAATGTAATCACCATTTAAACCAGCTATTCCTGTTATCAGACTAACCAGCAGTTATAAGTAACATTCTCGTGGAAATGTGTTGGCAGCCAGTAGAGCCGTCACAGCAGAGGCATTGTATGCTCCCTGTAACCAGACCCAGTTAGCAGTCTGGGTGTTCCTCTTTGGATCAACTAAAGTTTCCAAGCACTTTTTAAAATAAATGAATAAATATCATTTATTAAATAAGCTTCCTCATGCAAAATATATTTTTTATTGTATGTATAAACAATGTTATTGTGAATATGAAACTCTGGCTTAAAGATTTTGGAATGAATACAGATGGCAAACATTGATGTGATTTTTGAGAGATAGTGATGTGTATAGAGTTTTCAGGTGCATATGCTGAGTCAAATTGAACAGGTTGTTCATTATGGTAAGACAAATAGATTCTGGTTGGTCATACTGTCCAAACCTGTCTTAACAAATAAGTTGTAGCTTGCTTCTATTGCTTTTTTTTTGTTAGCTTCCAAACTCAGACTTATTTAAACAGGAGCACTAAATGAGTTAGGAGAAGAACTAACTATAAAAAGGGAGAGTGCAGTTTGTTTATTTTATTGCAGAACATTTAATTCCATTGTTAATGCAGTATATGGGTTAGCATCAGGTGTAAAGACAACCAGAGCTTCCCAGTACACTTATTAAAATATACTTAATTATGAGATTAATTCGTTTTGTCTCTTGAAATGATAATTAGATCAGTTAACAAGGCAACACAGTTGGCCTTATTATAACTTCTTGACTTTATGATTACTAAATCACGTTGGAAATTTCAAATGCATTTTAATTGTTTGTCAATGTTTACTTTTTTGTTTCTTCAAAACACCTGGCTGCTGTTTTCTCTGACACCTGTTAGTAATGCTTGGTTGCAACAAATTTAGTATGAACATAACAAAATAAATGAAAATCATTTTATTCTCCATATTTTCAATAGTATATGAGTCTTCTGTTGTTTACAACCTATTTCGTGACAGCAGTAATAATGCATATGTTTCTCGTGCATTTATTTCCACCTCCGGTTGTCTTGGGTTTATTTTGCAATTTGTCAGTTCTAATTTCTTATCAAAGACGGTGCTCTATGTGCTCTTCTAATTTACCCAAATTTAGTGTTATTTTCAGAAAATGCCTTCATAAACTGGGGTTGTTTTTTCACATCACCCTAAGATAATTGTTAATGGCAAGCTCATGCTTCCCTCTCTTTTCACTACATAATGAAATCTGAATCATTGTGCTCCTTTCATAATAATGTCAGCAATTACATAAACGAAATGCAGAGTGTGTTTGTTATATTTCATTATTTTAAGGGTCAGTATTTTTGTGATATCTGCAATTATAGGTTTTGTCCCATGAGATGTGTCTTACCTAGCAGTTCATACTAGTACAAATTGAAATAATGTCTACATTTATCAGAGAATAGGCTCCACTGATCATAGTGGACTAATGTTTCAGTTGAACAATATTGCACTGTTAGATTTCATTATTGTTCTAAGACCTTTTCTACACTGGCGGTCCATTACACAAGCAGTATATATTTAGCATTTATGTAGACTGAATCCCACCTGTAGTATTTTATAGGATGAGTTAAAAATTAATCAGACATATTTTCTCATCATGGCTCAATTCAGTATAAGAAACCTAATCTACATAATGCCTCCGTTTAGCTTCTCAGGTCATACAGATGGAGATAGAGACCTTTTGTTTCCAGTCTGTCTGTCATTCAGTTCTTTAGTCCTATGTTGCTCTCGTCCTCTGTACTTGTCTATTCCCTTTCTTTCATTCGTTCAGAGCTTGCTGTTTTCAAAAATAGTCTTAGCTCCACTAAACTCTCATTTCCAGTTCTGTCTGCTCATTCTGCCCATACAGTCATACACCCAGAGGTCCATCCTGTCAGTATAGCTTCACACTCATATTTTGTTAAGGGCTTTGCTATAGCTTCTCCTTGGAGACCTTGGATTGCTAAATCACCAGAAAGCCCCAATTTACAAATCATTGTGTAAAAAGGCCATAGTAATGTGAGGCAGTAGTTTTTCTTTAGAGACTTTTGAATTGTTAACTCATCCAAATTTAAGCCCCTTCTACACTGCCATATAAAATCCAGATTATCTGCTTTGAACTGGATTATATGGCAGTGTAGATCCAGCCTTAGAAGATCCCACCAGTTATCAAGTTGTCAACATGAAAGCCTTGTTGTTCCTTTTTCTTGCTTGCTGTGTAAGAGTTGTATCTATATTTAGGATCATATACAAGTAAATAAATGAGCTATGATGTTGTACTGGGAACACAGATCACATTGAATATTTTTGCTTCTTACTTCTTATGTCAAAATAAATTCCAAGGAAACCATGCCTTTCGCTCTCACTGTAACTACTTAGAATTTGTCCATCAAATCAACTCCCAAATCTTAGCTTATCAAGTTTTTGCCAAAACCAGTTAATATACAGTGCAGTATTTTAAATTCTAGGTAGACATCATTTTTTTTCCAAAAAAAGTAAAAAGAAAATGAATTAGTTTTGTAATTGAACATAGTACAGATATTTAATGTTTTCTTATTTGTCAAAAATATATATAACCAGAATCACACAACTTTCCTTTTCAACTGAATTTATTATAATATTAGCTTTTCTATGGTAGATCTTGATTTATATTCCAGGAAGAATAACGTGCTAATTCCACATAATACAAGATGTAAGAACTTACAGTTAATTTGATTTCTTAAACTCAATGAAACTTCTCTTTGAGAACGCTGTGCTGCTGGAAATCAAACTTGATTAATCATACCTGTCTATAACTGTTGGATTCCAGCTAGAAAACCACGGGTAGCTAGGGGAAATATAATTAAAACTGGACATATTTTACAGTAATTGTTCACTGTGAAATTAACAAAGATCTAATGTGTTCATTTTTCAAAGGGTGAGCCAGGTTTCTTGGGTCCACAGGGAGAACCTGGATTACCAGGATTACCAGGGACAAAGGTATGCTTTATATATGTATATATTTCTTTAATGTGTGTGCCTTATTTCATATCGATTAATTCAAAACCTAATCCTTTGCTTAGGACAAAACACATTAACTCATCTGACCATTAAAATCCAACTGAAATATAAAAGAATGAGACAGCTGTCTTTTTTAAAATATCAAGTCTACAAATCTATTACAAGTAATTACTTTTGTTTTTTCTGTATAATAAAATAAAGCTAGGTGCAGTTTTGGACAATATAGCAAATTGTGTGTTTTCCCCCTCTTTACTCAGTGGCTGGACACTGATAATGAATAATTATTTGCCTTTTTAGTAGATATAGAAAGTTCTTCTTTAAAAGGTAACTGGAGATGATACCAATGGATATAATTGCAGTTCCAGGTGTGTGTGTGTGTTGGTATTTATTGTAGTGATAGGAGTCAGCCTGGAATATGCATTTTTTAAATGTACCCAATTCATATCGAATATTTGGTTCTGTATACAGTTACTAGAAAAACAACATAATATCTTAAAACTGATTCAAAAACTGTTTTTCCAATTTCCTTTCCCTCTAATATTCATGATTCATGGAACATAATATTTAGCTCATTAGAACAGCAACCTATTTGTTTATGCTACTTAAAATGCAATGCACAATCATATGACTGTGTAATAATAAATAATGCTAGAACATTATGTGTGCAGCTGGGGCTTTCTATCATTCTTCCTTTTATTGAGACTGTCCAAAGCTTCTAAATGTCCTGATTACTTTGCTGGTTAGAAATAGGCTTTGGAATATTAAAGATCAAATCCAACTTTAACTTACTATTTTTACATTTAATGATTTAATGACCTGAAAGATGGGCAACTTCAGTGTATCTTTAGCCTAATTTCTCCCCAGCATCAAGAATCACAAAGTTGGAAGACAACATGTAGTTCAACCTCTTGTCTGAGATATCATGCCATGATGCCCATACCAGCAGAATTTGGTAATGGAGTTACATGTATTGGAAGTGCAATAATGTTTGACACTTAATTAGATAGAGCAGCAGTGATGGGCTTTAGTAACACAAAGATGTCTTACCACCTCATCACATTGAGAGGGGAAAGCATGGGTGACCGTCCCTTTAAATGTAGATAATCGTCCCTCTTATACGTATCATCAGCAGTCCCATGTTGAGTTCTGCCTTCCCATCACACGCACACATGAAAACATAAGAGCTGGCAGTACATTCATCACAAGGTCAGAAACAACAATATACAAAAACCAAAGCCTCTTATGTTAAAGTAGAGAGTGATCCAGTTTAAAACCATTGCTTTCCATGGGATCCTATGGTTCTGCATCAAACCACATAGGATACAAGAGACAGTTATTCAAGTTAAAACCATGGCTTTCCATGGGATCCTATGATTCTGCATCAAACCCATATGATACAAGAGACTGCTGGTGGTTGGGCAATGAAACAGGATGAGAAACTTTTAATGGTTCTTATCCCACCTGTTTTTCAGAGTTAAACATGAGAGTCAAGTGTGATTAGAAGTAGGAGCTCTGAACACAATTGCTGGCCCATGTTCAGAGTTCCCTCCTTTCAGAACTTTTCTGCCTGTTTTCACCCCTGGAACATGTGATGAGCCCCATGCCTCTCTATGGCTACATTTTGCCTATGACTTTGCCAATGGGTGAAGCAATGTAATTTGTTCTTAGCTGCCTAGTTGCTTATCTTGAAAATAATATTTACAGTTAAAACTGTAAAATAAAACAACGGCATAGTGACAACACTTCAAAAACATGGCACCTTATCAGTTTGTTTTTATGTGCTTTATATTTTGCTTAGTTTTTAGGAATTTATTTTAATGGCAGTATAATAGTGACAAAACAGACAAAGTTGTAGAAAACATCTACTTCAGGTACATGATTTATTTTCCCAGAGAAATGTTTGTCACTGTGCAGAACATTTGGCAGTTTGAAATATGCTGTGATGCTGATCATTTTGGTTTTTCAAAAACTGCTTGGTACCACACCACAGTTGTTGCTTCTGTAAAGTTTCTGCATGCTGTGATTTTTGACAGGGCGAACGGGGAGATGTGGGTCCTCCGGGGAAAGGCGAACGAGGTGAGCCTGGAGCTCCTGGACCAAAGGTCAGTCTGGTTTAACTTTGGAAATATTTTATGAGCTTTTTGGAGCAGTGGATTTTTTGAAAAGGAAACTTTTGCTAGTGGAAGTTAAAGAACACTGGTAAAAATAAACATTAGTGTTATTTAACTTGTTCAAGAATTTATTGAAATGTATGTCATTCACCTTGGGGCACAATAATAATTTATGTAAACTGAGAAGTTTAGTATTAAAAATCAACAATACAAGTATAAATGGAGTTTTTTTTTAATTTCCAATGTTCCTTGAAATTCATAGCACATTTGCAGAGCACATCTATGCAGAATCCACCATAAAGTGCAAATGGTTGCAGGGTTTAAAGCAGAATGAAGTCATACATGCTTACAATGATTTGTAATTTTCAATCTGAAATTAAGAAGAATAGTTCCCCCTTTCTCAATCTGTGTGTATGTGTGTTTGTCTAGCATGAGAATTTTAAAAAAAAAAACCAATGTTTACTATGAGATTTGTACAAAAGTTTTCTCCTAATGAATGGGACTGAATATGGCTAACAATGGAATGTAATAAAACAAGTACAGAAGGTCTTTGAAAACCATTATCAATATCTATGTGTTAGGGTCAAAGGGATGCTGTACTATTAATTTCCTGGATTAATCTTGGTTGGGTCAATTCAGGGGACCTTCTGTTTGCCCTAATCACTGTTTCCCAACTCTGCCCAATACTAGAGTTTCTAAAAGTCTGTGCTTTTCCAAGTTCAGTATTTAAATAATGGCTTCCTACTTATGATCATGTGAAACTCCATATGCAAGCGTCATCACTTGGGATATGTTAGTAATTGCTCTAAATACTGAAATTCTGTGCATAGAGATAAGAGCACTTTAAGTGTTTTCTCAATAAATTTATGCTGGCATGGACTTGTTTGTATTTCTGGGGGCGAGAGGGTATTGGGGGTTGAAAATGTGGCCTTCATAAATATGACCCGGTCCTTTGTGACATCAGAATAAACATGACTTCTTGATTAGATTAATTAAATTTTAATTAACATTAGCTCCATTTACATGATTAATGTTAGTTTTTGTACTTTTCACAATTATTTTAATGAGTTTTCTTTCAATACCATGTGCTGAACCATTTTGATCTTTCACTCGATATATTTGTTAGTTCATTAGCAGGAGTAGGGAGAAAGCAGATCCTTTCAGAATACAAAATTCTGTGGAGTGCTGAAAGAGAGCACTCTTTGTTATGTTTGAAGAAGATAGCAAGAGATGGATTCCTACCTTCAGGAATTATAATGTTAAGATTTGATTTCAAACCTGAATTCAGTTGTGTCATTGTTTTGACTGAAGAGTTATTGTTATAGTTCATAGACATTTCCAGACTTGTGTACAGAAGAGATCCAGCTTCAGTTTTCCATTTCAAAGAGCTATTTACACACAATGGTTACAACCTGCACAATTATGCAAGATGATGTTTTTTGTTCTGATCATGTTGCATTTACCATATGTACTCAGGGATAAGGACTTCATCACATGGTAGACTCCCCACCCAATGGTGTTTTACCAGCCTCTGTGGTGAAACGGCATGGCAGAAGCCAGCACAGCAGGGGCAGGCTCCCATGTTTGGAGGGAAGTTTCCTAGGATCTTCCACTTTGGTCGTGGGCAGGGCCTCCCCCAGATGTCCAGCAACATTGTGTGATGGAGAGCAACCCTATCCATTTCTAGACTGGCAGGGAAATGTCGCGGGATGCTAAAAAAGGCCCCATGTGAATTGAGAGTAGGGCTTGAGATTAAAATTATGGATTTTGATATGACTCCTGGATAAGTTGAAGGTTATTCCATAGAAAGGGGAAAGCGCCAATACCTCCTTAGGGGTGCCACTGACATTCCCCACCCAGACTTTCAAAAAGGCCAAAAGCGGCACCACTGCAGACAGAATAAAGAAAGTTGGTGCTTCTTTTAGGTTCTGCCAGGATAGGTAAAGTTCTTGCCTTTTGTTACTCTACTAAGGAAAGGGAATGGTTCCTTTCTTGATAAGACACAAAGTACAGTACTCACATTGGCCCATACATAAGACAACCAAGGTTTTTTGGATTCGTTTTTCGACTAAGATTTCTAGCCTTTTATATGAGTATACCTGACGGGACAAAATAGCAACTAGTAAATTATAATGCTATGTCTAACAAGTTGATGTCTCTGTGGAGAAAGTTAAGGAAAGGACATAAAAAGAATCCCCAGTGCAGAGAGAGAACTGTTGTATCAACATCTTTCATTCCTTTTCAATACTTCTTTTCAAAAATGAATTTCCTTTCAAGTCATTGTAGCAAATACATCATTGTAACCCTGTACTCATTAATATAAGTAATTTAATATTCCTTTACCTATACAGTATACATCTTTTTGGCATAGATTCATCATAGTAATCATTTTAATACAAAATATTTCCACTACATTTTAACTACTAGTAGACCATGCTATTTCTTTTGACTGCTCTCTTTTCTTTTTCTATCCTTATTTCTACTGTCCACCTTGTATGTGTTCCTTCATGCAGGGAAGATCAGGTGAATCTGGAGCTAGAGGTCCAAAGGGGTCAAAGGTTAGTAGTAAGCACATTTTGGTTTTCTTTGCCTAATGAGATGAGATAATGAGGTATGGGGTGTCTGACTTAATATATGTTATTTACTCATCTTACAGCACCAGGATGATAGACAGATAGATAGATAGATAGATGGATGGATAGATAGATAGATAGATAGATAGATAGATAGATAGATAGATAGATAGACAGAGAAATAAAATTGCACATCAATGGCTAAGGAAAAAACTAGCACCGGCTGAACTAATTCCTTGAGATTCTAGATCTGTCCACAGCATCACATGTTATGAATGCATCTCAGTTGGATTACTGTAACATACTTTATGTGGGACTATCTTTGGTAACTGGTCCAAAATGCTGTAGCCAACCTCCTGACAGACATTGGTTACAGGGAGCACATAACCCAGCTTTTAAATAGCTTCACTGGCTACCAGTCAATTTCTGGCAGAATTCAGAGTTATGACATTTAGAGATTTATCTGAATTGGATCCACACTGTTTGAAAGGCCATATCTCCCTGTATGGATCTTCCTGACTTTTAAGAATTAGTCACACTAAGGCCCATTCTACACTGCCCTATATTCCAGGATCTGATTCCAGATTATCTACTTATCCCAGATTATATGGCAGTGGAAACTGACATAATCCATTTCAAATCTGTCATCAGATTCTGGGATATAGGGCGGTGTAGATCCAGCCTTACTCAGCCTCAGAAGCAGGCAAATAAATACTCTGGCTAAATAAATGCTTTTCTAAACAGGAGTTCAATATTTTAGATAAAAACCAAGCAGGGAGGTTTATGCTTCCCTTACCCAAGCAAACTGTTCTTAGTGTGTATCAGAGCCACATACAGTTTTGTACTTTAGAATAAAAAAGTGATAGGTAGTTCCATGCTGTATTAATATAGCCTATTTATTTATTTAGCCTATTTATACCCTGGCTTTCTCAACCCTGAAGGGGACTCAAGGCAGCTTGCATATAGGCAATTATGCAATGCCTTAAAGCAACATACAATTCCAATGAACATTTAGATTATAATTATAATTAAAGTTAAAATTTGTGTCCGTGTCTTATATTTTAAAAAATCCACATAGGCATCCACATACAACATTTCTAGTAATAGTTTCCCTCCTCTACCTGTAATGAATTAAAGAGGAATTTGATATCTAGCTGCCTTGTATTATCAAAAGACTGTCTAGTTGTTCCCTGCCCATTTTTTGCTATCATTTTCTTTCCAGTAACAATAACAACAACTTTATTTTTATACCCTGCCACCATCTCCCTGAAGGGACTCAGGGTGGCTTACATGGGAATCAAACCGAGCGTAAACAAGTATTACAAGCTAAAACATAATTAAAAATATAATAACATATAAACAATCTAATTAAAACAATTAAAACCAGCAGAGTAAAAACATCATAAAATGCATCAACAAACAGTAATCAGAAAATGGTAGGCACGATCAGATTCAAGAGAGCAGGGCAAGGACTTGTGCAAAAAGCGGACTATAGGCCAGGGGTTGGGGGTAAAGTGCTGAAAAAAAGCAAATGAATAAATTAGGGCTGTTAGACCTGATCAGGAACTATAGTCTTCTTATTCTGCCATTCCTCATTTGTCCCTAATTCCCACGCACTTCAATAACAATAACAACAACAACATCCCCCCCCCCCTCTATCCCAGTTCTGGCCCTAACATTAGGGCAAACTGAGAAAGCTACTTTAGTTGCTAGATTCTGGATGGTGTAAGAAGCAAAACCAGAGATCTAACTGTTTCCCTCTCTTGGAAGAGAGAACAGTATCTTTCAGTCTGACCTGTGCCCCTTAACTCTACCCTCAAGGAGAGTGAAGTATTTGGTCTTACTGTCAATGCTGAGATAAGATAAAGTACAAACAATTAATGATGTCCTTTGCCACTTAATGTGGAAGAATTCCCTACCCCTCAACCAATATAAAAACAACGTGATTTTTTTCTCTACTGCCCCTTGGTTCATGTCTGACTTTCATACATCTTGCTTTAATCCAGTTTCATCACACAAGCAGTATGCTGCTCTGCAGAAATTGATTTATATCTTAAACATCACAAGAAATTGGCTCCTTCTAAAATTATTGAATTGAAATATGAAACAGGGGTGGCACAAGAGATTAATTCCCTGAGCAGTGGCTGTTAAAGTCTCATTATTGTGCTTTATTGTTTACAACCACACAGCACAGGTAACAGCTTTTGTCACAAAGCCAGTGATATAAATTGTGCATTTAGAGGTTTTAATCAGGAATGGACAACTTCAGTGAATCCAGGGGTGGTCTGGAGGCCTTATGGTTGCCCCAAAATGCTAAAAAACAAAAATGAAGAAAAATAGAAATGGTCGGAAGTACACTTCTGGTATTGAGAAATTGGCATTTTCAATATGGAATGGTATTGAGGAGATTGCAACATATTTCAAAAATGAATTGGATCTCCTGGACAAGTGATTTACTTTTAATGGACAGGGAAAGGACAATTTGGATGAGTTAAGGGGTTGCAAGAAGAGAGAAGGGGAAGGACTGTATAGATCTGAAGTTGTAGTCTGCTATCAAGCATGTTTCTGTGTCCCCAAAGTTAGAATTATGTTCCTCTAATGACATTTTCTTTCTCTCCTGCATCTTCTAGCATTGCAGTAACTTAAAACTTTAATTGAAGATTTAGAAATACAGCTTAGGCATCCAAACAAAAGGGACAGGCAAAGTCACAAGCTACAATGAAAACATAGTAAATATAAGTGTTCTAGGAGTAAATGATTTTCAGTGTCTCACTCTCTGCAATATTAAAAATGTGACGCCTGAAGAAATATTGCATCTGATGGGTCAGAATTCATATTTGGAGATGCAATACTTTCATTTCTCTCCCTTCTGTTATCTATGCTGGTCTAATAGACTGGCCCACTGAATGATGGACCACATACTAACAAAGTTGCAGATGATCATAGATGAAAAAACACAGCCCATAATGTATATGTCTTGCCTTTGGGCCACACTTGAGGTTCTGAGGTGTTACCCATGTTTCTTTGTAGATTGGGGATGGACTATTAAATTGTCTTTTTCTCGTTTCTTTTTTCTTGAAATATCGAGTATTAGTAAAGTAAATACATGTATTTTTATCAACCAATGTTTTTTTTTTCAACAAGGGTGATCCTGGAGAGAATGGTGGCCTGGGGGCCACAGGCCCACGGGTGAGTAACCTTATTGAGTTTGGGATTACTAGTTGCCTTGCTTTTTTACCCACCAAACCCCAAACTCAGATTGAGTGTCCCAGGCTTGCTGTTACATTTAAAACTATTCACTTCTGTTTGCATAGACAGTGCCACATTTATTTTGACTCTATGAGTGTGTAAGAGAGAGACCATGACCATGTATACATTTCTATTGGTATGTGCATAGATACACATCAACTCAAACATGATTTCTATTAATTATTTCCATTAATTTTAGTTTGAGGATTGAATGTGTAGAGAAGAGTCAGTCAATCCTATTTTTTCCAGCTGTATCCTGTTGTTTACACAGTTCCACGTAGTGCAATTCAGCTTCATGGAAATCTTCAGTGTGAGCCAGCCTGCAGGCTAGACCAGTTTTATTATTGTAGACTCCCTGGACCTCATCACACTAGAGGATGAATCTCCTTAAAATCCGCTTGCTGCCTCCTGGAGAATTCTGGGGTTTGTAGTTTAGGGAGGAGTCTTTAAAAGCCTCATTAAACTACAAACCCCAGAATTCTGCAGGAGGCAGAAACCACATTTAAAGTGGATTCATTCTCTAGTGTGAGGAAGTAGATCTGGGACTAGTTCTAAGGAACATTGAGTAGTGGAGAGATCCAACCAGTGACTTCTTTACAACCCAATCTCACAGACATCACACCGTCACTACATTCCAAAGAATGTTTGGGCTTAGGGTAAAGTATGTTGTCATTGTGTATTTTCCTCTTGGTTAAATTAATATTGCCAGACTTCTGTGATGGGATAAATATGTTACAGGGCCCACCTGGACAAAAAGGTGACCAAGGTGCCACAGAGATCATTGACTACAACGGCAATATCCATGAAGCCTTACAGGTATGTGATCAGAAAAAATACACAGTATGCATATTTGGTGAAGGAATGTAGTGATGCTGTGCATGTTAATAGCACTACGGCTATTAACTATCAAGAGTGATTTTAAAATACAAATTGTATTGTTCACTTAAAGCTGAATATCTCTGTAGAGCTGAAATAGACACTGGGAAACAGATAGTGGTCTAGGAAAACAAATCTGATTCCGTGCAAGGGATCTGTGTGCGTATTAACAATAATCTAGAATTTTCTTTGGCAGAGTATTTTTCCTTTAGTCTTTTCATGGCAGCATTAAGGTGTATCCAGATTGCAAAGTCACGGTGGTTTTACACTACTTTAAGTGCCATTGCTTAATCCTATGGAATCCTGGGATGTGAAGATCTTTTGTCTTCTCTACCAAAGAGTTCTGGTGCCTCACTAAACTGAAAATACTAGGATTCTGCAGGATGGAGCCATGACAGTTAAATTGGTGCCAAACTGCCATAATTCTACAGAATAAAAATAGAAATGCGGTGACCATCCATCTCCAGATCTTTGCTTTACATCTTGTGATAGGAATAGAAGATATTTCCGTTGTAACTCTTTGTTCCAATACTTCTTTTGAAATTGTTCCACCAGAACAATCTGCATTTCAGTTCAAATAATCATTATTAAAACCAGAATAGTTTTTTCCCTTGACATTCCCTGTGCTGTTCCACCCATCTTCTCTTCCCCATCTAAATGGAAAAGCTGATTACCTGAAATTAGGAGCCATATAACTTAATGAAAAAATCACAAATGTTTATATTAAGACCAGCCTGGTTCCAAATTAGTAAATAAAGTAGATTAAAATTGACCTTCATAATGCTTTGTTGGTTGCTTTGGGATGCACAATCTGTCAAAGCAAAGAGTAGCATAGGAATAATATGAGGCAAGAGATTCGTGGAAGAGGGAGTGGCAGGATGTGGCAATTATTAATAAGCAAAATTACTTGCAGATACAGGTGCTAGCCTGCATACTTGCAAGTATATTTGCTTACAGCTTGGTAAGGTACATGGAAGGAGTGTTGTCATAACATGGACCAGCTGCAAGTCATTTCTGAGCAGACAGTACTGGTGATCTAAGCCTAATGTGTTTTTAAAATAATAGATTACGGTAGCATACTCCATATCCTTATGAAGAGCAACAATATTCCCATCTTACCTTTTGTACTGTCCCTCTGCTCTTTGCATGTATTGTTTTCATGTATCAATTAGGCCTGGGAACCCCCAGCAAAAATAGATCTAAAAGCTCTTATACAGCCTGGACCAAAAAAAAAAGTAAAGATCTTTAAAAAGCACTTGCAGAAGATCTTTGAAATTCCGTTTTGATTATTAAAGGGAGAAATGAACAGTAGTACTGCCCTGTATCAGTTGTACCTCTAAAATTGGCAATGATGTTTTGTTCTCCTGTGTGTTAGAAGTTCTGACATTCATCAACTTACAGTGAAGTTAGAGAAAATGCAATGTTTGGCAGCTGTTCAGCTCCTCTAAGGATCTGGAATGCTGTTTCAAAAAGAAATTGGCGCTGTTCCTCTCTAGAAGACAATTTTCCTTAATGCATGCTTGAAGACTTAAAAGACAAACCACAAAGGAAGTTAGAATTTTGTGGGATGGTTTGCAATTCCTCTGAGTAATTCTTCTACTTTGTTATGTGAGTCATTAGCATGTAAGTCATGTTTATGCAGTAGCACAGAAATATGCAAGGCATAAATAAAAATGCTACATTGAGTAAGGCTGTTGTGTATACTCATGTATAAGTCTAAAAAATTTAGTCTCCAAGAATCAGTGTAAGCACAGTACCTTACCTCTTATGAAAAAGGAATAATTCCTTTCTCTGACTTGAGTGGAAAAAGACGAGAACTTAGTCCATCTCAGGAGAACCTAATAGAAGCTGTTTTTTGAATGCCTGGGCAGGAAAATGGCAGTGGTCAGGGATGGGAGGCTCCCTGAGGTGGCACTGGCACTTTTCCTTCTCCGAGAAATGACCATTAATTTATTCATGGGTTATATCAAAATCCATAATTTTGACCTCAAAACTTTGAACTAAAGGCATGTAACCTATAACCTTTCATGTGTTTTTGGATTGCAGCTCTTGTTCTTGATCACTATTGCTCACTTCCGTTCTAACCCATTCACTCCATGACATATAATTGGTGTAGACATTTAGACTCTTAGAAAGAAACTTTCCACATATACTCTACGAGTAAAATCAATTCCTCCCAGCTTTAGGCCAGAATGTATAACTGTACATCACATTATGTTAGTGCCACAGCAGCCAAAAGGAAATCAAACAAGTCTATGGACCTCATCAGATAGGCAGGGAGAAATTGGGTGGCCACGAGGGACAGTGGAGGGTACCATCTCACTATTTTCCCTGCCATCCAGGTCCTTTCATGTCTGCCAAATCACATCCGTTCCCCCTTCAGGTCTGTCTTTCCCCCGTGTCTCTCCACATTGTGCCATTAGGAATAGGATAACACCGAGTCCTTCAAATGCACTCTAGGCTCAGTTTCTCCATGTGGGAAAATGGAGCCCCACAGAGTCCTGTCTGAAATTGCCCTTTGTCATGTGATGGGCTCTGTGGGACTTTGTTTTGGCAATCTGGAGAAACGAGGAGAAGACACAGAGACTGTCTGATAAGGTCCTTGTCATCTGAGAGGAAAGCTATTGGCACTGAGCAGCTGCTTTCTCCAGTGCCTGGTGTTTTGGTGGATTCTTGAATTGTAACTCAATTGTGTTCTGAAAAATTGCATGTGCCACAAGACAAGTGGTTTCAAAAGTAGCCCTTGGTACAACATCTTGAGCCCAAGAACCTGCCTGGAAGTCAGATGTAGGAAAATAGCACAGTGATGCCACCTTTCTTTTCCTGGTCAGCGTGATTTTATCTAATTTCTCTTGTGACTACTGCAATCTGTTTCTGTCCTGTTGCAGTTGTGCCATCACCAATTCAAATGAAGGGCATCAGTAGTAATCTGGCTTTTGCCCAATTTTGTGTTCTTCATAAGCAATTGTCCTTGCCCACTTTTGCAAGGTGTTTTCCAAGCTGTGTCAAATTTAAAACATGGATTATGTGGTTGTTTCATACCATAATAAACATCCCCACCATTTTATGAAATCCTACATTTCATGATGTAGACCAAATGTTTTGTTAGAAAATAATGCTGTATGTAATTGCTTGGTATACAGGAATTATTAGGAGAGCATATTAATATCCATTATTAATCACTAAATAATGAGAAGTAGGTATTACAAATTAATACATCACAAAATGTAACACAACTAATAGCAATTAAAAACTCTAAACACAAGACCATATGCTCCATCCTATCCAGTGAGGCAAACTTTATTTAATATGCCTACTGTATGCCATTTTTATGCAATTCCAATCTTTTGGTACATTACCAAATCCCAACTGCCAATGTCTTTTAGCATGACATGAAGCTTTTTGTTTGGGCAGTATTTAATATTTGGGAATTAGCAAGTTTTGCTTTTGCTACACATTTGTCTTACTCTGACAAATGTATTACTAATCCTTTTTCTTTAATTCTCTTCAGTAAAAATTGTTATAATTCCGTGGCTTTCAAGAAACTCCTTATATAACTTACAAAATAAACAAGCATAGTACTGTTAAAGCCATTTGCCATAGAGTTAAGCAGAATTGTTAGTACATTTCATTCTTTATAACTCTACTTTGTGTGAAATAAATGTAGGTGTAAAGTCATCTGTTAAAGAGAGCTTACAAAAGCTGGATCTTAAATCTTTATTGTTCTGATCTCAGTGATATCAATCTTTTATTGAAGTCATCAAAGTAATTCATTCTTTGATGTAGATATGGATGACTGTAGTAGTCAGCTTTGATACTATATAGTACATTTATATGTAAGCTATATGTTATTCTTCCCTTATCATTATGAATGAGTACCAGTAAAAAGAAAAGCATTAGCAATACATTAGTTTTCAGAATTTGTTTGGTCATTCCTTTTTTAATGAAAAGTTGTCAGTAAAATCCAATGTTATTCTGCCCAAAGACAATGCACAGGAGATGAACTCTCCATTCCTTCCTTCTTGCAGCATCTCCCAGAATTTCAAATTCTATACCAGTGGATAATGGACCCTCCCATATGGGGTGGTCTGTGGACTGTTTGGACTAAAAGAAAATAAAATTGGGCTGAGTTACTCATGGTAGATGTCTTTGTGCAATTTTTGACGATCAACCCGTTCTTGTTACTACTCCTGAATAGTTTTCTCAGCTTCATTTGCTATATATAGAGAGAAGTAATAGAGAAGCAGTTGTGAAAACAGCATCTGCTAATTTTCTTCTCTTGACCATGACCATGTCTAAACTTCTCCCGCCCCCCACCTCCAATATGTTGCTTCACCCACTCTCTTGTCATGTGTAGAACTCTGGCCCCTTTTGCACAGCTGAATAAAATCCCACATTGTCTGCTTTGAACTGGAATATATGGCAGTGTAGACTCAGATAACCCAGTTCAAAGCAGATATTGTAGGATTTTCTGCCTTGATATTCTGGATTATATGGCTGTATGGAAGGGCCCTATGTTTGAACTAGATTATGCTTAAAGATAACCATGTCTTAGCTTGTTAGTATATCACTAAGATGGTAAAGAGTGTAAGCATTATGTGACTGGTAGTATCCTGATCTCACTGGAAAACTGTAGTAATATAAAGAATGCAGTAAAATGTTGTTTAAAATGGTTTTCTAACAAAGTATGTGTCTACAAAATACGTACGCTCAATACTCTTACTCTTAAGTCTTATTTTTACTCTTATTGCTATCTTTTTTCACATACAGTTTATTTATTAATTTCATGAATCTATTTAGGTTACATATACCCCACTCGTCAGACACAGGGCAGCTTACAAATTCTTAATTATGTAGTTCTTTGCTCACAGATATACTAATCTAAATATATGGCACACAAGGAAAGGGGAATGGCTTTGAGCAAGGGAGTTTAGTCCAGCAGATACTGCCTCTTCTTCTCTCCCTCCAAGACAAAGCCAGTGGCAGTTGGGAATAGATGGAGGGCCTTTCATCTGCCTTTTGGGGCTATATCTGCCTCTTCTCTTCTTCCACAGCCAAGCAGTGGTGGTCGGACTGGCCTTTCATCTGCTTCTGGCCCTTGCCTCTTCTCCTTTGAGGCAGGAGGCAGTGGCAATTGGAATGGATGGAGGACCTTTAATCTATTCTAATACTATTAATGTTTAATTAGCTTATGGGTAACCCATTTACTTATTTATGGTGTTGTTTTTCTTTTAAAATGTTTAAGTACCTTTTGTCCTATGATAAAATGTAACATTTTCAAAATATGCAGGATTGGTGTTTTGACAATCTTTATTTTCTCAGAGACAGTCAAATACTTCTTTCTAACTGCCCCCTAAATTCTGTTAAATCCATTACTAAACAAGCAAAGTATTTTATTTCCAACTGAACATCTGGTAACATTGTCTTCTGTTAATACATTTTGCCAACAGAGGATTACCACCCTAACTGTCACGGTAATTCCAATTGCATGACTTACGGTGCTTTATAGCTGTTTTCTTCTGTAGTGTTGCATGTTCATAACTCTTCTGATATAGAATGTGTCTTTGTTCATCAGATATTGACCTTGTTTGTCACCACATATATTTCTACATCAAGTATTCTCAATGGGTGCGTTGTTGAAAGCCAGGGTTGCAGCTCCTTCTGAAATTAATAGGAAATCTCTCCTTCATTTCAATAATAGAAAAAGGACTCAAAGTCTTGTTAGTATTCAAACTTGTGTATGATTATGGTTATTATAGCAGTATAATAGTGCATGTACTTTAAATGCAAAATTTGCAAGAAAAGTTTCCTCTCATTTTGTTTTCAAGGATACTTTAAAAAAAGAAATCATACCTACATCTGAATAGTTTTCGATTCAGTCAATGAAGTTCAGTAACATCTAAGTAACCATAGTTCAGATTATGTGTAAATTACATAGGGAGCTCAAATACAATGTCATTCCATACAATGTCATTTTTCTCAGTCCAGTAATCTATCAAAGTTGAGAAGGAAGTTACTAATCTTAGATCTGGGAAATTTCATTAAGAGACATTTCAGTTAAGTAAGCTGAAAATGTAACCACCCTTCAGATTTAGTGCTGTCACAATGGCCATGCCTTTTCTGCATTCTGCTTCCATTAATCCTCAGTGGAAACCTGCTGGGTTAGTATTCAACCAAATAAAAGCAACAATGTTCTCAGGAAAAATGTTCTTGGGATACTTAAGGTTTCAATATCCTTTGTGCATTTCATACACTAATTAGCTCTGGTGTTTCAGTGAAGGCTTGCTTGTCGGTACTTCTTGCATCAGTGGAATTTCTTCATTTAGGGTCCTAGTGCAACAGAGCAGTCAAAAGATTAAGTACCACTGTGTAAAGCCTGTGTTGCAAAAACCTCCACTAAACCTGCTGATATCAAACATCTTTATTTCACACTCCTAAGGAAGTCAAGACCTTGCCTGCGTTACAAGTTAATTGTGGTTTTGTATTAGGTTAGACAGAGACCACAAAAAGTAGTGTAGCATGGAATAAAAGTACTTGAATGTTTTGTGCCCAAGCCCTTGCATCTTCTGCAGTTTACAAGTAGGAAACTACTAAAAATGGAAATATGTCTAAGTGCTGTCCTAACTTGCCAAGATGCCAAACTAAACCAGCTTTAGGATAGCTGGTTATTTAGAATATTTAGCTGTGAAGTGGCAAAAAGATACTTTTATCTCTCTATTTTTCACTGTTGTGTCTCACCCCAAGATCCTTTCCCATCTGTGGGATATCTTCTAATGGTGATGCCTAGGAAAAAATGAATCCACAGCCCTGAATCTTTTGCCATGTGCCACAGTATTTATTATGGTCCATCTGATGGCCAAAAAAGAGGCAAGACAGTGGAGCCCTTGAAATCAGTATTATTGAATCATGAATTATATATTCCACAGTGTATTCCAATATAACACCTTAACTGAATCTAGGCAGCCAATTGCTGCCATATGAATAAATAGGTTCCCTCTTTCCAACATGTTTTGGTTGCCTATATAAATGCCAAGCTGCCCATTCCGGCACAGTGAACTCATAGAAATAAGAGCCTAGCTATTGGAAGATAGATAGGTAGGTAGGTAGGTAGGTAGATTTGAGATATTTTAATACGCTGTTTGTTCAGTGGCCAAATCAGATGTCAAGTTTACAAAACACAAATTATACTTTGTTATTTGAGAATTAAAATATAACTAGATAGATGTAGTTTCGTTTGTTTGTTTGTTTCATAATGTCACAATGAAATCTAGTTGTCACGTAGTTTTGTACTGTCTGTCTATAGAGGATCATTTGTTGTCATAGATACTATTGGTTTGTGTCTATTTTCATCTAATGTTTTTGTCCTTTTGGTTTGATTTTGTCATGATTGGTTTGTATTGTCGATGTTAACAAAGATTAGAATATGTGTGTCTGACAAATATACCATGTGAGAATATGAAAGATGGTGTACTAAAAGGTGAATTATATTTGTTTTTAGGGTCCTCCAGGCCCACCTGGACCCCAAGGGTTACAAGGGATAAAGGTGAGCTTCCATTTTTTTCCCTAATTTTGACTATGAATATGCTGTTGTGTTACTATATAGGGTTTCTTAGAATGTAAACAAGATCTGGTCTGTGTGTGGGGGAGGGGGAGTGGGGTGTGTGTGTGTGAAATATCAGACATGTTGTCCTCACAGTATTTTTGTACAGTTCAGACATCACCAGCAAAAAAACAATGTTTCAAAAATTATTAACATTGTATAAGACATTTATTTTATTATATTTTCTAGACAGGTGTAAAATAATGGTAGTTCTATTAATGTATTCCTTGTTCTGAACTAAGTTTGCCTTAAAGCAATCTTTTGATAACATACCAAACATCACAAACTGATCATGCACAGCCTCTTGGGGCCATTATCTAAGGAGGAAGCTCTGTATTGTTCAAAATAACAACAGTTTTTGAGTCAGGCCAATAAACTATTGGATCCTCCCCCGAAAGAAAGACAGAGTTGCCCCAACATTATTCCTAAATATCTTCTCTATTATGAAATGTCTTTATTTATTTATTTACGATATTTCTACCCCGCCTTTCTCCACCCTGGAGGGGACTCAAGGAGGCTTAGACTTAGGCAACTGTTTGATGCCTTCAAAAACAATGTACTATAAAAATGAACATTTTAAATAGAATTATAAAATGCATTAAAACTTTTAAAACATATAAAACAATGCCTTCACTGTTCATTGCATTATCCAAATTCATAGTCCGGGTCGTTCCAATAGTCATTGCACACAATTCCATATTTATCTATTGCACAAGATCTCCAAAGGCTTGATCAAAAAAACACATTTTCATTTTCTTACAAAAGGTCAGTAGGGGACTGATCTAATATTCCTAGGGGGGAATTCCACAGCCAAGGGGCCACCACTGAGAAGGCCCTATCTCTTGTCCCTGCCAGTCGCACCTGCAAAGGAGAGCAGGGCCTCCCCAAATGATCTTAAGCTCTGAGATAGTTAATAGGGAGGGATCCATTTGGACAGGTAAGCTGGGCTGGAACCATTTAGGGCTTTATAGGCTAAAGCCAGCACTTGGAATTGTGCTCAGTAGCACACTGGCAGCCAGTTGAGCTGGCATAGCAGAGGGGTTGTATTCCCCCTGTATGCTGCTCCAGTGAGCAATCTGGCTGCTGCCCATTGGACCATTTGAAGCTTCTGAACATATACCTTTTAGTGATTTGTCTTCCTATCGTGCATATCCTTGACATGTGGATGTAAATATCAAATATGGATGTAACACAAAACCATAGTTTAGTGTTGCCAGTCTACATTTTATCAAAAGCTGGAGTAACATCTTATTGTCAGAACCTGGAAGCTTCTGGAATTAAGACATGCTCACAATGAGGATCACTGGAAACAAAGTCTTTATTTCCTTCTTGCTAGCATTCAAGAAAGTCAGTTCTGGTTATCCTCTTTCTGCCCCTGGTATATATCTAGAAGCTAATCCCCACCCATCCCTACCAGTTTGTACTCTCATAGGTTACACTTTGGATTCCCAATACACCGCCAGATGCTCTTATCTCTGTAACATTCCCCCAGTTCCTTCCCATCCTCCCCCTTTTCTCCAGCATGGCTTCTCTTCATGTCAAGACAACCTGTGCAATCTCTTCACACAGCTGCATAAGTGGCTTCCTGATACTTATGCCCTTAGGAGCCCCCGGTGGCGCAGTGGGTTAAACCCCTGTGCCGGCAGGACTGAAGACCGACAGGTCACAGGTTTGAATCCGGGGAGAGGCGGATGAGCTCCCTCTATCAGCTCCAGCTCCTCATGTGGGGACATGAGAGAAGCCTCCCACAAGGATGATAAAACATTAAATCATCCGGGCGTCCTCTGGGCAACGTCCTTGCAGACGGCCAATTCTCTCACACTAGAAGTGACTTGCAGTTTCTCAGGTCGCTCCTGACACACACACAAAAAAAAAAAACGTATGCCTTTTATCCAGGTCTTGAGAAAGGTTTTAGAAACTGGAGCCATCCACCACAGCAGTTTGCCATTATGCTGAAAAAGAACAAAATTTGGTTCCTGGTTAACTATGGCTTGTTTCTGATAATGGCTTGTTTCAGAAATCTATTAGTTTAAACCAGTGTTGCTTAAACTGCACTCATCCAGGTATTTTGTAGTTCAGCTCCCAGAAATCTCAGCTAGTTTATCAGCTGCTAGGGATTGTGGGAGCTGAAGTCCAAAACATCTGGAGGAGCACAGTTTAAGAAACTTTGGTTTAAATGAATGAGAGTTCCTCCTTCTGATAAAATTACAATTATGCTTATTTCTCATCTTTACCTAACAGTCCTTCCAGCTAATGCAGAAGGAGAAACACATTAGCACAAATCTTATTTACATAGCATTACACAATAGAGTAATAATAAACTAATTATTAAAACTAATGTCATTGAATTTCACTTTGCAGGGTGACCCCGGATCCCCAGGATTACCTGGTGCTGATGGGGAGCAGGTACTTAAACCATTCTTCTTGTGGCTGAGCAAAAGAATAACACAATTATTTTTGCAGAATAGTAATGTTTACAATAATATTTTTCTGATTACAGTTACCAATAAATAACTCATAGATGTTCCTGGATTCTCTTCTGATGTTGATGAGTTTCATTTTCATAAATATTCCTTTTTCAGGGGCTCAAAGGGTCAAAGGGTGATATGGGTGACCCTGGAATACCAGGAGAAAAAGGAGGAATTGGACTTCCAGGATTGCCAGTAAGTTTGTATTAGCAAATACCACTGGTAGTAAGTCACAGTACTTTTCATGACCATTTCATCTATTCTCAATCCGAGATTTAGTTAATCAAATTTGTATGATATCTTAGAGGAATAATAATATAAAAAGAAAGATCTTTTTCACAACAAACAATCATTGTATTTTGATAAAAGGAAAGAGGACAAGAGAAGCTTTGTCATTGATTGTAATGTCATTGAAGCTGGAATGTTAGGCTGGAATATTTCACGTTTTCTAATCTAGAAGTGCAAGTGTTATTAGTCATTTTTGTTCGTGTATATTGTAAATATGTCTTGCAAAGCCTTTATATCATTTTGTAAGTGCAACATATCCTGAAATCCTAAAAATTAAACAAATAGATTGAAGGAGCAAGAGATAACAAAGGAAGGAATATCCCATATCTATTATCATGTATTATTTTCATAATTAATTACCATCAAGTTGGCCTCGGCCGTATGAGTAGGAACCTTCAAGACCCGGGGGGCCTTCCACACAGCCCTATATCCGAGAATATCAAGGCAAAAAAATCCACATTATCTGTGTGTGGACTCAGATAACCCAGTTCAAAACAGATAATGTGGGATTTTCTGGCTTGGTATTCTGGGATATAGGGCTGTGTGGAAGGGCCCTGTGTCAACAACCCTGCTCAGATCTTTCAAGCTGAGTGCTGTGTTTTCTTGATTCAGTTTGTATTTTGTCTTAATTTCAAGAATGAGAATTAACAATTTAAACCAAAGCCTTCGGTGAAATGGCCAGTGGGTGGGAGTATGTGTAGGTTGATAAAAGCTTTGAAAAAAGGAGGAGGTGGGAGGGGAGTTTTCAGACTACGGGCTTCATTTTCATCTGATCGTTAGTATTTAAAGAACTCAAAGCAATTCAAGCAACTTCAGAAATATTTACACAGTAGAATATTTAAACATTTTTAGATTGTTTACAAACCATTACCACTCACGATAAGATTTAAACAAACACACAATAGGGGGTAATCAGCATGTTTTCTAATAAATAATAAATATATACCTTGATTAACCAATCTAATAAACATTTATACTAGGACCTAATGAAAGAGACCCCCCAAAGTCATATAGCTAATGATGATGATGATGATGTACCTGAATCAAAATTACATATTTCTTCAGTTATCATCTTCAAAGAAGACCCTGCTGTGATAATTTATCGTTAGCAGCCACAGCCTTTATAGCTGAAATTTGTCATCTCCCAAAAATCCCAGATCAAGAAAGTGTGAGATAGGGAACTATTTCTTGCAAGATTCAGTTGAGATGCCACAAGGCAGTTTAAAATTATTTTAAGGAATATTTACAACAGAATTGAAATGAAATAATGAACACAGGATTAAAAACATTTCATATGTCAGAATATGGCCAACTGTTCTTGGCCCGATAAACCAGATCTGGACAAATTTAAGCCCTGGGGCTGCATGATGCCCCTAAAAGGTGTTTTTTCCATCTCTTTCCCCTCCGTAGATGTCTCTTTTTCTGACCAAAGCATGATAAACTGCTTTATTCCAGCCAAAAAAAAATACATACCCTGAGGCCTCTAAAAGGAGCTGTTCAATTTTTCAATAGGTTATATAGTCCCCTGAATTATTTACCAAGCTTTTTAAAGTGAACTTCTTGAGTTTTTATTTTTGTTGTTGGTCTTCGGGACAGCTATGCTGCTGTTGGAGGGTCTTGGGTAGAAATTGCCCCATGCTCAGTGCAGTTGGCCTCTCTACATTGAAGATCACTGATTTAATGAGGAAACCAACTGGCTTGTTTTCAGTCAATCATGCAGAAAACCCCCCACCACATTCTAAATTCTAAGCATGAAATGAAAGGGTTGCATAAACATTTATGCAGTCCGATCTCTCTGACATATTTGCATGAAATGTTTTCATTATTGGCAGCATTCTGAGCACAGCAGGTTCCTGTTCCTGTGAACAATCCATTTTATATTAGCAATTTCCTATGGGATCTCACCAAATCCAGAAAACAAGAAATCCTACTGAGCATAGATACCATTGAACTGTCCGTCAGTTCTTGTGTGCCTCTAACTTATGATGTTGCCAAATTTCATTATTATTTAGTTCACGATACAAACTGGCCTCGCCCATTTTGGAGATAATACATATTTTATTTGAGAGAGCTTTGACTAATTTGGGTTGGAAAATGAAAGCCTCTACATGGGTTTAGAAAGCTGTAATGAGACTGCTAACTGCATACCGTGTCAAGAGTAATATCTTTGATATCTGCAATACTGAACTGCAAGTCAAAATAAACAAGCTAAACCACAGTATGTGAGATGCATAGTATGCCAGATATTTTCAGCTTTTGGCACCCCAGATATTATAGACTTCAGCTTCTAGAAGTGCTGGTCATCAGAACCAGTAGTCATTCTTAGCATTAAAATCCAAAGTATCTGGATAACCAATGTCTGACATAGTTTAAGTAGGAGTACTTCAAAGGGTTCTTGAGAGGTGTAACACAAAATGAAACATCTTTTCAAGTACAATTGTAAGAAACATCCTGGAATCTGATCTTTCAACAAAGCAAAATTCACGAGTTAATAAGATGTGGAAATATTGTTTAATAGTTCAATAATGATTTTGTAGGGCTCCAGTGGCGCAAAAGGAGACAAAGGAGACGTTGGTTTGCCAGGTCCACAAGGTCCCTCAGTAAGTCTTGCCATGATATATCATTATTTCCATAAAAATACACTGTGGTTCTGCAATCCTTTATTGTATCCTTCTGCCATCAGGGAGAGTGAAAGGAAGCAATAATGCATTCAAAGGAAGCAATAATGCATTAATATTGATCAGATCTAATTGGGAAAAATAGATGTTTTTTGAGTACAACTCTCAGAATTCTCCAGGCAGCATGGAGAACTTTCCTAATCTTGTGTATTGATGGCAGCACACAGAGCTTACTGAGTGTTTGTTGTCCTGTGAACATGGTAGCACACATGGATCTCTTCAACTTGAATGTCCAATTTTGTCATTTTTTATTGATAATGCCCCATTATTGTTCATTAAATGTTCTGGCAAAGGAAGGCTATTTGGTCACATTTAGACAGCAATCCTAAATGTGACCAGGCTGAGGCTCTGATTCCTCAAGATAATTTATAGGGTTTGACTTTGCTCAGCAATAGTATAAGTGCAATTGTTGTTGTTCTTTAGGGAGAGAGGTGGTCCTTCTACCAGAAACCCCTCCCGTTGCAACTTTGCCTTTATGTCATTCTGTGATAGCCACTTTCACTCCATGTTGAAAATATGTTTTGGCTAGTGAATCCAGTCTACACCCACCAATCTCGCCCTGTCTACAAGGCTGGGGTTGGGAGGAACCATATGAGTGATTGTAACGTAATCTCTTTGAGATCATAACATATTCAGATATTGTAATAGAATGGGAGATTTGCTCTTTTCTTATAGCCTCTAGGATGCACTTCTGTGACCCTAGGATTGCAACCTTTAAAGGATTACAGTTTTCAAAAAGAGGAATAACCAGATAATCATGTGTTTTTATGAACTAATTATATTGGTTTCATATGTAGATTATAGGACCACCAGGACCACCAGGCCCACATGGTTCACCTGGGCCTATGGTAAGTGTTTTCATGTTATTTCTGTTGTAGCTAAAGTAGATTTTTTGTCATATCCTAGGCAATTCCAGACAATTAAAAGAAACAAATGTTTAGGTTTCTGAAAGGGAATGGTAGGATATTTTGGGGAAGAATGGAAACATATCATATAAATTGTTGATGAGGCAGGTAGAATTGTGGAACGCTGCAAAGTGATAAATGCTCAACTCCTGGATTGAGGGTGGTTTTTGCCCAAATGAGTTTTGGTAAGAAGGCAGTAGTCTAGTTTAGCCCTGTGTACAAAAACATGTAGAAGTTGACATTTCAGTCATGGGTCAGAGACAGTGGTCTTGCACCTCATGTTTTCATACTGCAGAATTTGGAGGAAATTTCAGTACTAGATTTCATTCTGATTCTCTTGAGTAGTTCATTCAGCATTGTCTACAACAGAGCTCTGAGGTCATACTTACATCTACCAATGCCACCTACCAAAAACTCTCTTTTGAGTTAGGCAGTGAAACACCTGAAGGGTTTCCTAGGTCCTACAGATCAAGGCACTGGGAAATGATGACTGCGGGGTTTTAATTCAGACAGCTGTAGGGACCTCTCAAGGTCCTATCACAGTTGCCTATCTCAGTGAGCTCCATGATGAGAAGGCACTACTTTCATCATCTCCCAGGTTTCCAAATTGCAGAGTCTAACTTAGGAGATATGGGGAATCAACTCTAAACATAGATTTCAATAGTTGCAAGGTCTGGCTTACAATCTCATAAATATTGAACAGCATGCCATCTGGCGTTTGCCAATATTTGGATAGCCAGAGAGAAAAAATAGTGAAGTGTACTACCTGCTATAGTAATAATTTTGATAATATTGAATTTCTCTTTGTTTTTTTAGGGACCTCATGGACTGCCAGGCCCAAAGGTAAAGAATCCAGACCACAACTAACTTCATTCTGTTTATTTGTTTTGTTGTCATTCCCATGAATCATGTTGAAGCATTCTGTCATGTTTTGTTCTTTGTTTCCCATTTCTGTTATTTTTTCCTGATATTCTTAAACCTTTAAGCAGCTGCTTAAAATAAAACATTAAAACATACTTTTAAAAATAAGGATTTATGGCAATTTCCTGTGTCTGTTCCACATCACTATAACCCAAATTAGCTTTCTATAATGTTAATTATAGCAAGCCAGTAAAAACATCTAGTTGTCTGGTGAGAGTTTCAAGCTCTGCCATTTGGAACTACCTTACACTTAGCCTTAGAAAAACAGAGGATGAATGTGTTATGCACTTAAGTTAAGTAAATAATTTCCAGATTGCTTTCTTCACTCTTGTCTTCTTATTTAAGCTTCCCACTTTTTCTAGCTTTATATATTCTGCCTCATTTTTTCCAGTTGTTGTATTTAAAAACCCATCTGCTTAACTATATTCCTAACAGTTATTGATACCAGCCAAGGGTTTATTGCTGTTCCTGGAAGCTTTATTCAAAATATATGAGGAATATACATGTGCAAGGACACACATATTTTCACATTGACGTTGGTTCAGAAATTATAATGTAAGGAATATGTACATGAAAAGATTGTTATACGTTAATTACAACTTCCTTTTAGTCATTCTAGCTAAGCTTTCTGTAAAAAGTGCACTTTTATAAGTTACTTTTCATAGAACGAAGGAAATGAAGGAAGGAGTTGCGACTGTAACTTCACACTGGAGATTCACAAAATGTGTCACACTTTCAAGCCACATCTCCTCTGCAGATACTAGGTCTAATCTAACCTGAATTATTTTAATCAAACTCATGCCTCTCTGAGAGTCCCCAAATCCCAAATCTCGTGGCTTTTGCTTCTAAAACTTTAATAGTGTGAGATTTCTACTCAAGGCTCTCAATTAATAGTAAGCTTTTTTTTTTTTGTTTTACCCTGAAGAAAGCCAAAAATTGGTATTGTGTTATTAATGTCAATTTTTGAATGTCCAATTCTGCAAACTTAGCATCATTTTTTGTATTAGATGTAGTATGGCACTAGGAACAATTGATGGATAACATGTTTGAGTCTCCTATAACTGTGCAGAAGGCTACATTTGCCCTGCAGCACTGAACTGGGTTGATGCCTATTTAATTGTCCCAGCTTCTTACAAAAATAAAAATCCTCAGGGTTGCAGCTTTGTAAGCATACTGGTAATTACTTGTCAGAAGTCACTAGCTTATTTCCAGTAAAGGAATCTTGGCATTGTAGTTCTCTGAAATGTCTGCGCTTGTTAGCCAATGTGGCAAAGAGGACACCGTCCTAGATAAAAGTTCAACCTCTGGTTGCTAATGTAGCCTCTCATGCATATCCTAAATATATACCAGTTTATCAGCATCAACCTAACTATAGTGTACACATCAGGGGCAATAGCAATATTGCAATATTCAGGTAGCCAGACCTCCTATGGAATACTTGGTCGATTTCTGGACACTACAGTTCAAAAGTGGTTTTAACAAACTGGAGTACATCTAGAGCAGTGGTTCTCAGTGGTCCCCAGATGTTTTGGTCTTCAACTCCCAGAAAACCTAACAGATGGTAAACTGGCTGGGATTTCTGGGAGTTGTGGGCCAAAACACATAGGGAACCACTGATCTAGAGGGTGGCCACGATGGTAAAAATTCTGGAAACAAAGCTCTTTGAGAAATGGCTTAGGAAGCTGGGTATATTGGGCTTAGAAGAGAAAAGACAGAGGGGCTATACGATAGCCATCTTTAAATATTTCAAGGTATATCATGTAGAGGATGGGAGAAGCTTATTTTGTGCTGTACCAATGAATTTCAAATGACAAGGGAGAAAATCCTCTTAAAATTAGGAAGAAGCTCCTGATAGTGTAATAGATTGCCTCATAGGGCAATTGATTCTCCTTCATCAGACATCATTAAACAAGTTAGAAGACCTTTACAAGGTGTACTTTAGTTGTTTATTCCTGAATAGCAGGATGTTGTATTAGAGGAGTCTTTTGGTCCCTTCCAACTCTATGATTCTGTGTATCACAGAATGGATTGTGCAATGGCTGCTGTGATATTTAGTTCAACCAGCAAGTTAGCTCACCACTCTCCAAATCAAAGCGAAAACTACACTCAATGTTACACTTATTCAACTGCATCTGAAAAAGTAGAACAGCCTTCATAACTAGCATAAGTGCCACAACAGGATTCCAGCCAAATGGGTATTTAATTTGTATTTGCAATAAGAGTAGTGGATTATGACCTTTTTAGTTGTAAGCCACTTTGAATCCTGTGTAGGGAGAAAGGTGGGATATAAATTTAAATATTCACTTGAGTGCATATATCCATTCATTTTTGGAAGCCGTTACATCATGGTTCCTTAAAACGCAATTTCCAATTAATCACAACTTTCCTCTGTTTTTCTGAACATGCTTAAAGGTTTGGAATATTTTCCCACAAAAAACTGCACATTCCAGTTTGCTGTAAGAAGCCACTTAAGGCATCAAAATGCAACACTGGCAGCATTACTCACAATTTTATTTTGGTCAGTGAAATTTCCCGCGTTCTGATTTCTTTAATCAGAGGCCAGCAGATTTCAAGTGGTCTTGGGATCCATTCTGAATCAACAATAGTAATCTACAATTACAAATGATTGCTTTATTTAGTACAGTACCATTATGGTCTGAATGGGAAAGACTAATATGTTAGTTCAATGTAAAATGGATCTCTACAACTTATCTCTGTAATTTATTATAATCTAGTGAAGATGAAATTGGAGATCTCTCTCAATCAAATGAGTTTAAAGAACTGGGAGTTTGCATTTGTGTCCTTGACTGGCTGTCTTCTGTTCCAGCTTAAATAACATTGTCAACATCCCTGCAAAATAGCATTTATACTTTTATATTTAGGGTGAACCAGGGTTAAATGGTCTTAAAGGACTGAAGGGTGAACCAGGTCACAAGGGTGACAGAGGGCCCCTAGGTCTGCCAGTAAGTAAAATACCTATTCCATTTCAGTGCAAATTGCAAACTTCTCTTTCTATCTGCAACCAAAAACTCTGGTTTACTCAATAGCAAATATAAAGCTATCTCATGCTTAAGTAAAATATCAGTTTTGTTTTTATTTTTACACAGAGTCTGTTCCCATGTCATCCCTAATACACAGTTCTGTCAGTTGTTGGTTTTGTTTTTGCTTTGTTTGTTTTTTTTGTCATCTGTGTCAACAGTATTACATTTAATTATTCACATTAATCATATCATTACTGGAATGCTGTGTGGTGTTTGATTTTACTGTTATTTTTAACTATATACCTACGGCTTCAGTATTTTGTTGTTGTTGCATGGATTCAATGGCTACAAATAATAAGTAGTTCAACTTCATTGAGTATAAATTGAGCACCCTTTAATTGGAATTCCAAATTTCAAAATACTCCAAAATCTGAACTTGTCCACATAGGTGGCTGAGATAGTGGTGTCTTTGCTTTCTGATGGTTCAATGTATGCAAACTTTGTTTTATGCACAAAATGGATTAAATATTGTACATAAGATTACCTTCAGGCCATGTGTATAATGTATATATGAAACATCAATGAATTTTATGTTTAGACTTATGTTTAGACCACGCCACTGCTGCTTCATCCTCTTCCCTTCCTTCCTCCTCTTCCGAATCAGTGGTGGCAGCACGACTACAGCTGAGTGTCATCCTCTTCCTCTCCTTCCTCCCCTTCCTAAGGGTGCTGGCAATGGCACGGCTGCAGGAAGAGGAGGAAAGAGAGGAAGAGGATGACACTTAGCCTGCAGCCCCGTTGGTGTTGCCATTTTGAAAGAGGAGGAAGGAAAAGAGGAGTAGGAGGACAGCAGGTGGGCTCCTAAAGTCCCTGCCCCACCTGCTTGCCAGGAGCAGCAGCCCCCCAGCCTTCTTCACCTCCTCTTCCTCCTCCACAGGTAAAATTTTTGAATTTTACTAGTAGCTGCTGCATTTCCAACCCTCAGCTTATACTCAAGTCAATAAGTTATCCAGTTTTTGTGGAAAATTTAGGTGCCTCAGCTTATATTCGGGTCGGCTTATACTCGAGTATATACAGTAATCCATTCAGGACATGATCCAGCCAAATCAAAGTACTTTTATATCTGCTGGATTTAATGGAAGTTGAGATCATGTTTATCTCTCTTTTGCCAAACTTGGAGTTAAAATGCTTAACTTTGGGTGGAGTTTGGTCACAATTAAAAAAGTACTTGAAGAAAAAAAGTGCTGGGATATTGAGTCTTTCAAATTAAGTATTCTGACTGCAGATTGGCTGATATTATTTACATAATATCCACCAGTGCTCATTTGTTACTCAGCAATAGCAAAATCAGGCATACAGACTTGACCCATTAAAAAACCCACTCTGGACATTGTCTCCATTCCTGTTGAAGTCATGTTGATTTAGTGGATGTACATTGTGCAAATCATTGGCAGTGCAATGTATCTCTTTACGTTGCCCAAAAAGACACTCTAAATTGTAGCACAGTGGAGCAACACAAGTATTCTTTTACAAGCTGAGTGTTTTTCTGGTCTCATTTTAGGGCAATTCTCAGGGGAGGCCATATTTCAGAAAGGGGATCTATCACTTTTTCATTCCAATACAAAAATACAGCCAGACCTTGGAGCAAAATTCTTTATTCCTTTGTTTTATCTTCCATGTCACAAGTTTTTCATACTATCTTATGAAACAAGACATGTGTGTTAAGTACAAAAATATGAGGTTTGTAGCACTAATGAACCCAGGGTCTCGGTCTAATCTCATAAAGGACCCCATCACATGGAGATCCAGAAGCCAAGGGACAGTGTGAGATAGCATAGGACAACATGGGGCATCCAGCTGCCTAGGTCCCCTGATCATGAGCTACTAGCCCACAACATTTCCCGGATGTCCCTGGATTTTTCCCATGTTGTCCCTGACTTCTTCAATGAAGGCACAGGTTCAGGGCTCCCTCTTAGTGCACTGCCAACACGCTACCAGAATAGAGCCCCACTAGAAGTAGCTCTGGATCATATAATATCCTTCAGCAGACTCCGTCCCCTGCAGCATGCCAGCAGTGAGCTAGGATGATGAAAAAACCCTTTCTGATGAGGTTGGAAATCAAGCATAAATCTACCAAAACTGTAGTACTGTTGAAAAGGGAATCAGAATCGGGCCCTTCGTGTTGTGTGTACATTATAACTAACCTAATGCAGTACTGTGATACTTGTTCTGGGACCCTGTAACAATGTGTATTTTTGTGTATAAATAGAAGTTTTACATGTTCATCACCACCACTTACTAATCTCGCATTCTTGTCGTTCGTGTTATCCCTATCGTCTGTGCTTCCACTTAATGCTTCCATACAGGGAGCATCTGGCTTAGACGGAAAGCCAGGACCCCGGGTGAGTCCTTTGTGTTCCTTTGTCATACTTCACTACCAAATCTCCATGCTTCATTGCAGACAGATTTGTCTTGTTTTGTGGTATTAGTGCTATTCCTGCTCCTTCTAATCAGTAGAATCAACTGTTATAAAACTGACTGGGCAACTTAAATGATGTTTCATTGAGGTCCTTCATTAATGAATCTTGGAGACAGAAAGGACGTTAGAACATTGTGAAGTGTTGGCTACACCATAACAATGTGCCATCAACTTGCTTCTGACTTGTGACAACCCTAAGATTCTTTCCTGGGGTTTTCATGATAAGATTTATTCAGAACGAGTTTGCTATTATCTTCTTCTGAGACTAAGAGAGTATGGCTTGTCTAAAACCACTCAGTGAAGCAGAAATTTGGATATTAGCTCAACACTCTAAAACTGGCCTTCAACCTGCTATAGAATAATAATACCAGCCTAGACTAACATGATTTTTTAAAGCCAACAAAAGGATTGACTGATGTCAGATGATATACAGCAAAATCATGTAACAATATAATAATCAAGGAAAGAAAAATGGTCATGTGAATAAACTATCCTTAGCTTTTTCATCATATGCTATTCTGATCATGCTGCCTATTAATCAATCCATCTATTCAAAGTTCAAATGGCTATTTCATATTTCATACTTTTTTGTGGAATAGACTTTATCTGCAATGCATCCTTTTACTTCAGCAAGTTTACAGCGCTCAGATCAAGCCTGGATTGGTATTTTAAACCAGATACATTATGCTGGATTTATATTCATAAGAGATTATGGCTTTTTTGATCCCTTTTTGGCATGTGCAAGAAATGTTCCAGGTTTTTTATGATGGGAAAAGTTAAAAAAATAGCATAGCTATGAATTTCATTTTTTCTTTAGTCTTGTTGTGGTGTCTATCCTTGTGAGTCTTTTTGTGAATTCTGCATGGTTTTTTGTCTTTGTTTAAAGTCCCTTTGTTTAACCCTTTAACAGTTCCTAAAAGAAATCTGTCTTTATAAATCAGCTCAGCTAGAACAACAAAGTAAAGATTAATTAGATGGAAGGAAAGCTATGGAGTTTAACAAATGACAGGTGGATTTTTTGAACCTTCCAGATGGATTGGACCTTCTACATTCTACAGTTAAACACTAGCTTGTATTCTCAGCTATTGGCATGAAACTTGATTCTAAGGGACATATCTTCTAAATAATCTAAGCATTCATTTTAAGAATATTGAATCTTCTTATCATGTTTTGATTCTTTAACCTTGTAGGGTATGGATGGTCCAGTTGGTCCACATGGCCTTGCAGGTCCAAAAGGAGACAGGGTGAGTGCCTAACTGCCTATTAAGACTTTCTTATACGTCTTAATATTTTTTTCCTGAGAAATGTGATCACTTCAGTGTGTTTAGCTGTATTCATTATGTGAGATAAAAGGTAAAGGTTTCCCCTTACATTAAGTCTAATTGTGTCCAACTCTGTGTGCTCAATGACATAATAAAAGAACCAAGCATATCAAGGTTAAAAATTCTGTTCGTTTTTTTCTCTAGCACAAATGCATAACAAGTGTTTAAACTTTGACTGATAGTTTAGCATTATTATTTCTTTTGCTATTATTTGATTTATCTATACGCAACATGGCTAGTTTAAAAGGCATCAGCAGATATTATACAGTATCTCAAATCATCTCTTAAAATCTGAGAAAAGATCCATAAAATAACAGTCTGGGAAGTGGCTTGTTCCTTGCTCTGAGAAACAGTGTTCCTTATACATAGAAGTACAAGCAAAAATGTGCTTATAATCCCAGGAACTCTGATATATTTGCATGCATGTCCATGTTGAGGCACATCAGCATTTCATCACTCATGAATGATGAAAAATGGCTCCTGCTTTATAGCACTTCCCCAAAAAGTTCAAGTTTTTTTTTGTTCTGCAACTTCCAGAATTCCTCAGATGATGTATCTCTAATACTGTATGTTGTTCTGAGTTTTGAAAGCAGGATATGATACATATGAAATAAATAGACAAGCTACCATTTGGAGTGAACATTTGTGATACTTATATTTTAGGGTGAAAAGGGAATTCCAGGAGATCCTGGGCCCAGAGGACCGTATGGCTTACCTGTAAGTCAATGACATAAAGTACTATTATGTGAAAACTATAATTATTTCTGGGTTTTAATGGATATTTGTCAAAGAAAAAAATGTCATTAGCAAAGGGTCATTACTTATAAGGTCATCTCTTATCTTGATTTAGACAAATTAGGCAAACTTCTCTGGGAAAATAATAGAGAAGGTCTGACAACAATGACAAAAGTGGCTGTTTTTTAGAACTCCTACTGGTTCCCTCCTTTTTATAATTCCTACCGTTTTCATTGTTATATGTTTTATGATCTTGTATATGCATTATTACTTTTCTCTCTAGGCTCCAGAATGTAATGGTGGGAATTCAAGCAAATAAAATATATTTGAAGGATGTTTTCCCTCTTCAACAACTCAAATGTCTCCTAAGATTTTATTAATGCAAATATTTTGCCAGAGCATCACAATTCCATTCCAAATGACTTGTGCAAACATATTTTGTTCTGTGAGATTTTAGAAATAATAGTTTTGGATATTGCAGCCTAGTGATTCTTGAATTTTGTTCAGTATACATAACATTCTGCCATATACTGTCCATAGGCCTTATGATTAGAATGCCCAGTAGACTTGTGCATGGATCCGTTTTAGCCATTTCCCTTCAGCTTCTTCAATTTCTCCGGATGACCGTAATGGCAAGGGCTCAGCCGCCATGTTTTTTCACCCAAAACAGCCATGTGGGTGCTGGGTGCAGCTTCTTTCTTTCTATTTGGGAGTACGTGGTGCATACTTCCTTAACCCTTTTCCTCAAACCCAGAATTCCTTGAAAGGAAGAAAGAAAATGGTCCCAGGAAGGGGGCTTCCTTAACTCAGTTGTTCAAACCCAGAATCCCTTGAAAGGAAGAAAGGAAAGGGTCCCAGAAAGGGTGTTTCCTTAACCCTGTTTCTCAAACCCAGGACCTTTTGAAAGGAAGAAAGTAAAGGAACACAGGAACGGAAAAGGGAGCCATGTAAGTTCCCCATTGCTGCCAATTGGCCGGATTTTTCCGGATCTTTTGGCTGCCTAGGTGAAAACAGATTTTTCTGTTAACCAATTTTCAGGAGGCCCCCGAAAACAGATTTGGGTACCCAATGAAATTCCGATACCAAAAAGGGATCACATTCCAGCCAAATTGCACAAGCCTAGTGCCCAGTATAGCAATTGAAAAAAGATACCTTTTTTTGGCATTTCATTGAATAATGTACATTTTACTGAATGATGTGTTATGTCCTTCAATACATAGAGGTGTTCTTCTATGCAACTCCTTTGAAGTATTTTTATGGATTGGAAGGGCTGCTGGAGGAGAAGAAATCTCTTCTTTTTCCATTACTAGCTGCCAAGCGCATACTTGTTCATGCACAGAATTCTCCTCATAAGAATCCAACCAGGTGGTCTAAGAACCATGCTTATATTCACCTCTGTATTGTGAACAAAGATGTATTCTGCTAAGTCAACATTTGAAAGCATAAGAGTAATTAATCACTGGATGAAATTATTGTGGCTAATTTTAACTTTCTTCTTTATAGAAGTACAAATTCGGCTAGTTCATTTTCAGTGTTAGTGAAGTTGTGTAGCATATTTTTTCCCCTCTAACCGTGGCCATGTATGCATATGAATATCTGGGAAGAAACTAGTAGTCACATTGGTATCTGGTGTGACATCGACATATAAAGATATTTCCATTGATTTTTTAGGGTATCATTGCTTCAGAAAACAATCTACTTAAATTTCCCTTCTATCCCAATTAAAATGGAAATTTTCATCCTTTCCCACCTGCATACTCACACACAAAATTACTTTACAGATCGCAAAAGATAAATCAACCTGTATACTTGTTTCCGATGTGCCTTCAGAATAAATAAATAAACCTTTTTCAAGAATGGAAACCTGTTTTTTATTAGACAATAAAAATTAGGAAATCAGCTCTCCATCTTCTCCCATCTATCTCACATACACACATCTCACACAATCATGCATTCTTTCCCATAGCCCAGTAAGCCCTTGGGAAATCATCCTACACACAGGCTGTGAAACCCAAACAATATACCAAACATCTACAAAGTCTTGCATTGAAAATATAGTGGGATTAGAACTCAATAAAGATTTATTTTCCCTCCAAGCGGCCCAAAATATTAATGTAGTCTTGGATGGGTTTCATGACTTTTTCTGTTCGTGTTTAGATTGTGTAAATATATCTACACATACTGAATGAGTTCTTAGTATATCAAATTTTGATCCTGGGGAAACAATGCCAAATCCCGAATGACCTAAAGATCCAAATGGTTTAAGATCAGGCAACCATACACATCAGTGAGCACAGACAGACCAAGGAGTTGTCACAGGGCCTTTGTGCACATTTCTCTACTCTATAACATTTCCCACAGCTAAAAATTGGATGGCAAATGCCATTTTCACTCAAAGCGTACCTCTAAGGTATGCACATTTCCCTTTAGAGGTGATTCCAGATTTTGGGATTCATAGCAAACAAAAGGGTTCATAGGCACCTCCTACTTCAAAACAATAAAAACCAACCCCAAAAGGGATGGCAAGTGATCAGAACATCACTGCAGCAAGTGGTTGCAGAAAATGGTGGACATGTGACATGTCAAGGTGGTCTGAAAATAGTCCTCTGATCTTCTATGCTGACACCAAATTGAGGTAGTGGGCTGAGGATGTCTTGCCATTTACATTGAAATTTAGCTAACTTCATGAGGATTATTTATTTATCATGTCAGAAGCAAATTGAGAGTACAGTTATAATGTACTTTAAAAACCACAAACATGAGGATATAGGAATGTAGGCATTGTGGATTCTGGTTATTTCAAAAATTGCACAGATATACCTTCCTATAAATGGCAGAAGTTCTATTGCCCCACCTTTAGAATTCTTCCCGCCTCTCCCCACAGTACACCAGACACCAAACTTGGTAAACTTTGACAAACCCATTTGCCCCCACACTGCCTAAATTACATATATAGCTGAGTGTGATAGACATTAATGGTAGACTGTATTTCAATTTAATTGCTATTTAATTAATGTTGTAATTTTGTTAATAAAGGATATTGTGTGTACAAAAGAGGTTAAAAGAGAAGGAGTGTCTTAGGTCATGTTCCTGTTCCCATTTTACTGTTTGGAATGAAGAATGGTTGAGGAAATGATAGGCTGAGAATGTGTTTGTTGTTGCAGTAAAGGGATTTTAACTGAAGATTTCCTGGTTCAAACGGGCACTCTAAAGCAGTGGTTCTCGGCCTCTGGGTCCCCAGGTGTTTTGGCCTAGAACTCCCAGAAATCCCAGCCAGTTTACCAGCTGTTAGGATTTCTGGAATGTGAAGTCCAAAACATCTGGGGACCCACATATTGAGAACCATGGTTCTAAATCATTTGCATATCTGCATTTTCAAGCAATATCCCCATTCTGGGAACTATGCAAGCCTTCTCTGGCAGAGGAATATGGGGGTAGGAATTCCAACCCAGTTCTGGTATGAAGAAAAATCAAATGTTTGCAGGCATTTTAGAGGCTAGATGAAGTTATTTCCCACATGCCTAAAAACAGACAGAGATTGCTGTAGAACATTTGAAGCAAAAATAGTAGGCACCTTCAAAAACTTAGTGGGGTGAGAAGACCCTTGGTGGTTGCAAGAACATCCTTGGCCAGGCATGAACCATGGGTAGCATATTAGCGACTTCATCAGTATAATTTTAAACTGATTTGAAGGGATACGACTTGGAGGATATTAGCTTGCTTTCAGACCTTATTGAAAATCAGGTTTCATATGAAAGTGCAGGATTATCTGTGGCTGTTCTGAACAACCTGTAAGGGAGCAAATTGTTTCCTCAAGGCATTCACCCTGCCTAGTTTCCAACAGAACTCACAACCTCTGAGGATGCCTGCCATAGAAGTGGGTGAAACACCATGAGAGAAGGCTTCTAGAACAAGGCCATGCAACCTGGAAAATTCACAGCAACCCAATATTCACTTTGTTTGCAAGTTTGTTAATGTTCCTGGATGTTTAGGCATTTTGTAAAAGAGCTGCCTCTTCCACAAAACATTAAAAACAGACAATTAACTTATTGTTTGCAAGTTGCATGGTACCTCTGGGACAGTCATGAATTTGTAAACAATGTCTGTACCTTGCATGACATGTTTAGGTGAGAAAACAAGGCTATTTGCTGTAATATATAGTAAATATAATATGCTCTTAATATCCTCTGAGGTTTGGGTCCAGGACACATACACACATGGGGATGTCAAAAAAATCTGTGGATGCTTAAGTCCCATAGTAAAATTGTGTTCCTTATATAGAATGGTAACATCTGGGTCTACTTTTTAGAATTTTTAAAAATATCTTTTCTAGCCATGGCTCATGGAGTTTGTGGATACAAAATTCATGGATACAGAGGGCTAACTGTTGTCTTCAATGATTATGCCTAGTGCAACTCATTATCATAATGTAATTGAATCCCTGAACATCCTAGACTGTGCTCCTGATCCTTAAAGGGAGATCAAGAACAACTTGAACAGTACCCCCCCCCCGCCCCCCACTATCCAGAATGGGGAAAAACATTGATTTTATAAGCTGTCATCCAATCTGTTACCAACACTAGAAGCCAGTTTAACAATTCCACAATTCCATCTTATTCATTTTGTATATGAAACTTCATGTCCATAATAGTGCCTCAAAACATTTTGCCCATGACTGGCCTAAACTGTAATCATTTCAATGATTTGTTGTTACACCAGACACAAAATTTCAAGTGGAAGGTTCTGTTTTGTGCTCAGTATATTTGTTGCACATCTGAACAGTCCTGGCAGATATCTCAGGCAACCCGAATGAAGAGTTGCAGAGCTTAACATAATTAATATGGTTCTTTAATAGGGAAAAGATGGCGAACCTGGCCTCGATGTAAGTAATATTTACCATCCCTTTATTTGTGTGGTAGGTGAGATTTGTTTCAAGTAACAACTGCATGCTTGGAGCATGTTGATATTTTTCCCATTTGATGTGCATGACATTCATGCAGAGAATATACTAAACATTGCATTTTAATAATGATGGGGGAGACAAATGAAAACTTTTGAGTGTGTGAAGAGAACAGTACAGGTCTTATCATAAATAGGGTACCACTAATAAGTGCCTGGAGCAACTGATACTAAGTAGAGTACCTCACAGATGGCCATGGAAAGTATGATATTACTCGATGGCATTATCATCTATAACAGTGGTTCTCAACTTGTGTGTCCCCAGATGTTTTGCCTTCAACTCCCAGACATTTTAACAGCTGGTAAACTGTCTGGGAATTCTGGAAGTTGTAGGCCAAAACACCTGGGCACCCACAGGTTGAGAACCACTGATCTATAGAGACCTACAAATAAAGTCAACAGTGGGTTGTTGTAGGTTTTTCTGGGCTATATGGCCATGTTCTAGAGGCATTTTCTCCTGACGTTTCACCTGCATCTATGGCAAGCATCCTCAGAGGTAGTGAGGATCTGAGGATGCTTGCTATAGATGCAGGCGAAACGTCAGGAGAAAATGCCTGTAGAACATGGCCATATAGCCCGGAAAAACCTACAACAACCCAGTGATTCCGGCCATGAAAGCCTTCGACAAAGTCAACAGTGTTGAAACTGCAACTCTATGGAACTGCATGACTGCATTAGTGGCAGCAACACTTAAAAGATACTGGCAATCTTCACCATAGATACACAGGCCACAAACAGCAAGGTTGACATTGCATGTTAAAAAATGTAATCTCATAGAAGGTTGTTTTACTCCAATGCATTATACATGGAGCACTTGTGTTTCCAGACTGCTATAATGCATGCATTAATAACAGATTTAGTTCTCAAGAAATAGTTTGCAGTCTGATGTTCCATGGTTTTCCATGGAAAAAAATCAGTATAATCCTTTCGCCAATCAATTTGGCATCAAAGATGCCTAGCTAAAGCAATTTTTAACATTGCCAGAAGCAATTTGCATGTAGGAAATCGATATAACTTAGATATATGTAGGCATTTTCAATATCTCTGTTGTGCAGAATATGGCCTTTTTAAAAACCCAAATTTATTTGGCGAAATATTTATGCTCTGTGTGTTTGTGTGTTTGCATATCCTTCAATTGTACAATAAAGACAAACTCACATAAGCCAACAGAGGTAATTTTGTTCGTTTTTTATAGGGTTTCCCTGGGCCTCGTGGAGAAAAGGGTGATGTAGGAGAAAGGGGAGAAAAGGTGACCTCAATTCTATTAACTGTTGTTTGATTACTTAGCCTAGTCAGCTATTCTGTCCCAGTCCTATAATTTGTCCCATTAAGCCTGACCGTTCCTCCTTCTGTGTGCCAAAAGCCATGTCATGGATCTTTGCTAGACAAAGTCATCTGTCAGAATGTGAAACAAAGCTTCCACACAGATCCCAAAAGGTCAGCGGTTTCCATAATGGGAGAGGAAAGGCTTTCTCCTTCCAAGACTCCTGACAGTCTGTGTTTGTTTATACAGTCGTTACCGACAAGAGACATTGGAGTAGCAACAAGATAGGAGCCAGTGGCCCAGACTGACAGCTCATGTAAATCAATATAGGCCTATCGACTTCAATTAAGTGTGTGGTGTATTTATACCTTGTAAGCATTTGGTCCATCACTTGAGAAGATGGAAGCTAAACTAAAAACACTTTTGAGATAATCCAAGGAGAGCTAGGCAGTCCTATTGAAAGCCATGGTGAGAGCACAATTCAGCAAATTAGTTCTTTAAAAGGAGCTCTGGTGCAATACAAAACATTTGTGCTTTTCTAGGCTCGTTTGTGCCAGTCTTTATGCATTTTTTCACTGTACATGCAATGAGGGTGAAGGATAGCTCAGAACTATTTCACAAACAAGGCATTCAGTATTACGTATGGTGTGCAGATCTAACAAGCCATGCAATTTTCAGTGCAAAATAGTGATTGGCCTTTAAAATAGAACTATCAAAAAATAGCATATGTCAAGGATTTAAAGTTCACTGTTCAGAGTTAAGAGATGTCCAGAAAAGCCCCTTCATGTGTTTACTGAAAACATGGAGGAGGAAGAAACAGGACTTTGTTAACCTGCTTCCAGCATCAGTATGCCCACTGGTTGTGCCCAACTGCCCCATGATATCCCTACTTCTGAAAGAGGACTCTATTGTTGCTTATGTTGATCGTGATTGTTTTAATTTTTGTGCCTAGCATGGCTCACAACACAAGAACACTGTAAGAAAAGCAATTTAGGAACAGCCATACTTATTATTTATTTATTTATTTATTTATTTATTTACTACATTTATATCCCACCCTTCTCCCTTGAAGGGGACTCAGAGTGGCTCACGCCAAGGCACAACTCGATGCCACACATACATATATATATATATAATAAAACAACATATACTTTAAAACTACATAATTAAAACATACCAATTTTAAAGCAATTAATTAAAATCACACAATTCAAAGGCATATTCCTGGAACCATTCCAGTTCTCAATTGTATTATTCATTATTGCACTAAGAAATAATTATTAACATAGTCAAACTATCTTAATGATTACCTACATTTCAAGATACAGCGAAATCCCCACATGTATGCAATTGCATGCATATTAGGTGCCTTTTGGTGTTCAATCAAGGTATGGCTGATGTATACAAGGATGTCAGGAAATAGCCTTCAGGCATGGTTCCACGTTCCCCCTCCATGCAGTTTGTACATAGAGACCAAGCAGTTTGGGGGGATTTTTCTTGAAACTGAGCAATTATTTGCTATCTTTATATTTTGCATAATTTGAAATATGTATTAAAATGTAGGTCATTTTGTGATTAGGAAAGAAAGTAAATGTCTTGCAGGATTGTTGGGTGGTAGCAATTGTAATATATGGCAGCAAAACCAAGAAAGAGTCTAGGAATCTTAACGTTTTCTTTGGCATAAAGTTTCAACACTTGCAAGTCCTGGGTTTCTGTCCAAGAAAGCTTATGCCAAAGAAAATGAATTAGTTTTTTGAGGTATTATTAGACTTTTTTCTGGTTTTAAAGAGAGAAGGAAATTAAATAATAGCACAAGCCCTCCTTTCTTGAGCCAAAGCAATTGTTTAGCTCTATGAAATGACCATACCAGCACTTCAAGTTTGCATTCTTCTTGTATATGCAGAATTCTTCTGCTACTGAAGTAAATGCACTAGCGTGGCAGCTCTTTATGTTGATAGAGAACTCTAAACCTTTGAGTTGGGAATATTTCCGATTTCCCTTATCCCGGAACTTTGAAAGTTTTCATTAATACATCTAGAGTTTTTTTGGATTTCAAAAACTGCTTTGAAAGCCAGCTCTCAAACTCTAGAAGGTGTAATCCAAATATATACCAATGCCTCATTTCCATTAAAGTATGGTTAGACTTACTGTGCAAACATGAAACCGCAGGTAGTAGTGAATAATAATACTCATCATCATAATCATAATAATAAAACGTTATTTGTATACCGCTCCATCTCCCTGAGGGAACTTGGGGTGGTTTCCAACAAACAAAGCATTCAATTGCCAACAAAAACATACAGAATAACCATCATAAAACATAAACATAATACTAGTAAAACAGTCATACGCATTAAAATCAGTTCCAATACTATTCCACTAGGCAAAATTTGGACTACAAATGGCCAGAATTTCAGAGTGGGGCTAGACAGTATGAGAGGGATGAGCCAGGGCTAGTGCTATGAAGTAACATAAGGCTGGGGGAGTGGGTAAAGTTCAGAGCAGGGTCCTAACTAATGGCCAGGGTAGGGCCTAGGGTGACTCTTTTCCAAGGCCCACTGGACAGCTATAGGGGGGCTGGGCCAGGGCTAGTACCACAAGGTAGTATAGGACTGGGGAAGTGGGTAAAGTGCAGAGCAGAGTCCTAACTGATAGCCAGGGTAGGGCTTGGGGCATCAGGTCCAGATTTGTAATCTGGTTAATCAGAGTTTTACTCCCAGGGAAGGCTTCACTATGCCAATGTCCATGTCTAATATATAACCTCAGGCTGAGGAGATGCATGCACCCTTAGAGGCATGGGCCACATTTCAGCTGTGCTCCACCCTTTTCAGGGATAATGATGCAAAGGAAGTAATATGGGACCAGGAAGTAAAAAAAGATGTACTGCACAGTAAAAGTAATAATTTTAGAGGCATGTATGGGACAAGAGAAATTGTACCAGAATCTAGTTTAGTACTTTATATAATGAGTTACTTCAGGTTGGAGCTTTAATTCTTCAGATCTGAACAAGTGACGTCTCCATTCAGTTCGTTTTTAAAGGCTTGGGAATCATTTCCTATGATGAGAAAAAACAATTGTGTCTAGTTTTTCTTGTGGTTGATAGTACTGGATGAAATGGACAAGTACATTAACCTTTTTCTGAAGGTGTGAATCGTGACCAATTTTAGTCAAATAGAGGTAGAAGGTGAAATCTTTGGATTTTTGTTTGTTTGTTGGGCATGCATATATGTTGAAATTGAATGAAATGTCTTGGCATAACAAGAAGGAATTAAGATTGCTAAATACTAGACAAAAGTATAGCACTTAGATAGTTATTAATAAAAACAATATATTATTGTGGAATGGAGGACTGATCTTGCTTCTTCAGCCTGTAGCACACACAAATATTTACATACACATTTGACTTGGGGAAAATGTTATAGTATATATGCTGGCCCAGCAAATCATAGTCTTTCTCAAATCTAGTGTTGGGAAAATGGCCCTTTTATCACCTTTGAATTTACACAGAGGCACAGCTAGTGAATTAAACAATCCGTTTATATAAAATGTATCGAGATTCTTTTTCAGGCAAGCAGCTGACAGAGAACAATAACTTTGAGATACAACCAAGTCATCTAAAATTGTATAGACTGCACTTGTGGTATCAATTGATGGCTTATCCCTGAAACCAATTATCAAAATCAGCTATTGGCAGGATCTATATAGCAACCAGCTTGTGTTCTGTTCCCAAATTACGAATCTGCACATTGGGATCTCCTAGGGCAGTGGTGTTAAATCTTGGCCTGCCAGGTGTTTTGGACTTCAGCTCCCATAATTCATTACCATTGAACAAGCTGGCTAGGGCTTCTGGGAATTAGAATCCTAAACATCTGGAGGACCATACGTTTGGCACCTCAGTCCAAGGGTATAACCTTTAATCTTGACATGTCGAAGTTCCCTTTTGCTGCAGTGTTTCCTTATTCATTGGAGTCTAATTCTTGATGCCGAGCATGATACACACTGTGGACAGGTGGAAATTTCTCAACATACAATAGGAAGAAAAAGGAGGGATATATGTATATTGATTTTCTAGAAGGCAATAAAATGACATTTGTTTTAATATCTTTTAAAGTCCACTGATGTTTGTGCGGTAAACTCTATGCAAATTGAATCCAAATCTGAATCATTAATCAGTACTGGGAATCCTCTGCCCCTTACAACTAAACCTGAGGTTTTATTACTTCCATAATTTGTCACCATTAGCCATGCTGGTGAATGCCAATGGAAACTGAAATTAAAAAACTTGCCCCCCAAACTTGTCATGCATAAATAAGAAATAAAAAGGTAAAGGTTTCCCCTTGATATTAAGTCTAGTCATGTCCAACTCTGGGAGGTGGTGCTCATCATAAGCCAAAGAGCTGGCATTGTTCGTAGATGCCTCCAAGGTCATGTGGCCGGCATGACTGCATGGAGTGCTGCTACCTTTCCACCAGAGAGGTACCTATTGATCTACTCACATTTGCATGTTTTCAAACTGCTAGGTTGGTAGAAGCTGGGGCTAACAGAAGGAGCTCACCCTGCTCCCAGATTCAAACTGCTAACCTTTTAGTCAGCAAGTTCAGCAGCTCAGTGGTTTTACCCACTGCGCCAGTGGGAACACCTTAAAAATATTTGCTGTGTAATCCTTCCAAGTCATTATTTCAAAGGATTGTCAAAGTGGAACTTTGTCTTAAGTACTTCTCATTTGTTTGTTTACATATTATTTAAATATTTGAGTCCCACCATCCATCATGAAATTTCATATTTAGCCACAATTATCAAGTGCACTGGTTTCCCTTTATTTTCCATCAGGCTCTACCAGCTCTTCTCTGGAGTCTTTAACCCTGAACTATCTTTCTCTCAATACACTGTGACAACTTTGTGTTAAGCCATGTTAGTGTTTGCGTTGAGGTAGTGTACACTAGAAATAAGTTAGAAATAAATAAATAGTGTCTCACTCAGAGTGCCATTCAGCATACTTGTGCTTTAATTTAAGCCAACTAAAGATAAGCCCTAGAGAGATCATTAACTCCTTTTGTGCCTCTTACAATTGTACAGAAGATATTATGTCAATCATTTCTATTAGAGAAGCAGTGCTTGAAACAAGGTTCTTGAAACAAGGTTTTCTTGTGTTGTGTCCTTTATATTCTTGACGTCTTGCTTTTTCCCCACCTCTAAAGTACTTCAAAACATATTGGCACACAGACAAGAATACTATTCTGTATATTATGTAATACAGTATATCTCTCCATGGAAATGTGCTTGATTCTCATTGGAATGCTTGTTCTATATGTCACATTATATCATGTGTGTGGTGTAATGTTACTTCTAGATATATATCCGTACGATAATTGAGGTCTTAAATCAACTTAAGATTAAAGCTTCTGTTGGAGTCATTAAGAGTTTGTTAGTGACTTCATAAAATTATGTATAATCTGCGTCATTCCACATTTAAAGTGTCTCGAACATTTCTTTTCTGCTGTAATGAATGCATAGTATTTTTGGTGAAAAAAAAATAAGTGAATGTCCATTTGCTACCACATACCATTGTAATTCTGTCTACCTTTCCAGAGGTGCATCCATTCCTTCTCCTTTTACCTTGTAATTCCTAATAATTGCATTTGTCTTTTTTATCCTTTTCCTTACAAATTAGATACCTCCTTAGAGCCATGACCTCGACAGTCTCCCCTTGATTGCTCTTTATTTCATTCTACTAATTTCCTTCTATTTTTCCATCTCTCTAATGTCCCTAATTTGCCTTCTTTGTTCATGATTTTTTTTAAAAAAAATGAAATAAAATAGAAACACTATTAGTTTTATTGGAAACTGTTAAGTGAGCCTGAAACTCATTTACCATTGTGATTAAGTGATGACCGGGTATGAAACCTGATTTAGATTAGTCTCAAACTGTCTCTTGGACACTGAAGATGAAGTCATTTTTCTCATATGGCAATTCTACTTTTCTGAGCACTGGATTTGTTTAGTTAGATCTGTTCCATTAATTCTCATTCTGAAATTCCCATAATGCACATTTCTTTGAAAACAGTTCCCTTTTTTCCCACCACATGGCTGATTTTTACAGTTCCAACTCAGGCAGATAGTTATGACCTGGAAAAGATATATTAATTCATGGAGGGTGGCATTTTATTGTACTTCATGTTAGAAGTTCCCTTTGGGAAAGCATTAGACTATCTTAAGAGGAATAAATGTCGTGCTTTTGAATCTTTTTGAAAGATCAGAAACGAAATCCAAGTTTGATTTTTGAGACAACGAATGGCTCCTTTATCAAACTTGAAAAGAATGGGATGAAAAGAACATAGGCAAAATACTAAGGAAAAATCATTTTAGCAAAGACATATTGAAGCAAATTCATCTTATTACTACATGTCACAGATTTAATTCATCTTACTCTTTCATCTCATTCCATTTCATTCTGATTCCTATAACTATCCAGATCTGTTTGGTCATCTTAAACAAATCCTAAGCGTCTGGAGAGCGCATCCAGTCCTGAATATTGGGATGCAATATTCTTGGGACATCAGCTTCCTCAGTCATTAAGATGCCTAAATGTCTAAACAAAAACCTCATCCAGAGCAATGTATGTCACTTAAGATACATTTGGGATACCTGTACATACCAGATTCCCCATTCCTTTCTGTAATGTAGCAGTACAAAGGCATGGGCTTACCATTCCATCAAGAAGGATGAAGAAGTTTGGGTCTAAATCGCATTTCACAGTGGCAATACGGCTGAATCCTACACAATTTTTTTGTAAAAAATATGCTCATACTTATGCCAAGCATGTAGTTATGGAAAGTGCTCATTTGCAATCAGATATCACTTCAACCAGAAGAGGAAACTTTCCTTGGGAAAGAGCTGATGTCCTTGCTGTAGGAAATCAAGGCCAGATTAGCAGTCTCATGTAATATTCAGTCTGGAAAGGTTACTTTTTTGCACTACAGCTCCCTGAATTCCCAATTAGCATGGCTGGTGGCTGTGCTGGATGTAAGGTTCTCAGACTTATAGTCCAAAAAAGCAACTTTTCCAAGCTCTGGTCCATAATAATAAGATTGTGGCAGAAGCTCAGAACAACCAGACTGATTTAACTGTTGCTTATGATCATATCATAATTTATTTTTCCATATAATGCATCGTGCAAACTAGAACACAGTGGTAAGTGTCCTTTCAGCCCTCCATTGGCTATAAATATAACTATATAGAAAAAAATAAAAAAATATTTTAAGACACCTCTTTTTTTACTTCCCTGAAAAGAATGAAACATTTTTGTTTTTATCCAAACCATTGTGTCCACAGGGGGAAAAGGGAAAGAAAGGCAAAAAGGGGCCTAAAGGGGAGAAAGGAGAACAGGGTGCCCCTGGATTAGATGCACCTTGCCCGTTGGTATGTCTCATTCATGTATTGAAAATGTCTCCTTGTATAGTAAATGTATTAGGATATCGTAATGTTAAGAGGAACAAGCTGCAGCTTTTGTGTAACGTTGACATATATTCAGACAAGTTTTCTCTAATTTGTGGCATTCAGGATACTAGCTAATATAGGCCACATTTACTGACATGGCATATTTCCAAAGCTTGGATCATTGACTAGGGTATTCTGGGAGTATTACTCCAAAACAGTAACTTTTCCAATATCTGCTTATATCTTAGAACCCAATGATCAGCATTATTACTGGTCACGCTTCCTGTTGGCTTGTTCCTCTTTTCTTCCTTTAATGTTTGCTTGTTCCAGCAAAGTAAATGTGAACGATATTGTATAGTAACATTACAAGTTAATCTTTACAAACAGGGTTTCCGAGGAATTAAGGGGGAAAAAGGGGAGCCAGGCCAGCCAGGCCTGGATGGGCTGGATGCCCCTTGCCAATTGGTACAGTATTGCTCTTTCCTTCCAACCCTGCATGTGAATCCTATGTTTCTAGTCAATTATTCCCAATGTAAAGTTTATGATGCCCAGACTTTACATTCTAACATCTCCATACATGCATGTGCATGATCCGACTGGCTGCTTTGGTGACGATAACAGTATCCAGAGATCTCACATCCTACCAACATCTGCAATGTAACACTAAGCACTTTGCACCTGCAACACAACTGAGTTCTGAGTTTGTTTGACTCCAACATTTATAAGATTCTATTTTTCCCTTTAGGAATTGTTTGTCTTTCTCCCCTCCCCTTCCCCCAGTCCTCATCACCACCATCCAAAGGGTCCTGCTGTACTCACAGCGAATGCAATCCCCTCTTTGCTGACACACAATAGGAACATGTCTCCTTTGACTGACCAACTGACCCAAGTATGCTTGCACTATGCATAAATTAGCTATATCCTTAAACATCTTCCACTTTCAAGCCTTGAGTATGTTTGAATGGGAACAATATGATTGTACAGAGAAGTGAAAACAAAAAGCCATCTCTGATCCAAAACACATCATTGTTAAAGCAGGGAAACTTCAACATAAAAAACAGTAAGAAAAGAATACCAATATAGTGGTTAACTAAATAGAGGCAGTCCAAACCAGTAAGCTCTCTTGTCTCTATAAAGGCCTTTGAAGACTTCCTTAACTTCAAGAGAGGGTAAGCACAGAAAAGTTACCCTTTAAACTACAACCCCTAGATTGCCTGGCTAATACAATTCATGGCCATACAAAAGAATAACTCCCCATATTTAACATAATTGGGTTATCATCAATGCCCATATTCTCATAAGGCAGTGGTTCTCAATCTGTGGGTCCCCAGATGTTTTGGTCTTCAACTCCCAGAAATCCTAACAGTTGATAAACTGCCTGGGATTTCTTGGCGTTTCTAAGCCAAAACACCTGGGGACCCACAGGTTGAGAACCATTGTCATAAGGGCTCCGCTGCCTGTTTCTAGGCCTTCTTCGTCCTTAATTCTTCTCCTTCTTTTAATTGTTGCCTTTTCATCTCTTCATTCAAGAAGTGAGTAATGACTAGAGGGGAGAGATGAAACAAGATCCTCTATTTGCTTTGGTATTTTCCCCTGCACAGCTCTTAGGATTGAACCCAAATGGAGAAGACGTGCAAAGGGCCTTCTTCCATCTATTGAAACGTCTTGGCTAAAGACTGCTCACACCCTGGATGCAAATTCATTTGTTTAATTGAATAGAGAAATAATGTACTTGCTAGGAAGGTTCTTTGTACAGTATCCTCCCTTCTCCATGGTGGATACTTTTTAAGACACAAACACACAACATGCCATGGATGCCTAAAACTGTGGATAGTATCAAACCCAATGTCAGTAATATTTTCAGACTGCGGTTGACCATGGGTAACTGAAACCATGGAAAACAAACCCACAGGTAAAGGGGATTCCATATTTTTGAACTGCAGTTTGTTGCTGGTATCTAAAGCCACATAAAATGAACCCATAAATAGGGGTGGGCTGTTGTACAGATAGAACCATGGTGCTGGTTTCAATGTGAACATATAATATTGGCTGCCTGTGAACTCCTTCAGTATGTTCAGTATAAAGGAATCCTCCAGGCATATATATATAATTCTATTGTGCAAAAATATTACCCTGATATCGATATCAGGAACTGATTTTTTTAAAGTTATTTTTATTGAGAATAAAAATTAGCTCCTTAAGATTAGGAGCAGGAAAAAAAGAGAGCAACTGTAAAAAAATAGTTATTTTCATCTTGTTTACATAAAAAGAGTGGGAACAATAAGTTTCAGTAAAGTAGGAAGAAAAGAAAAAGAGTTTAAAAAAAGAGAGGGTGGGGGTCGGTAGAGTACTTCCAGGTTCCCCCAGGATGTAGAAACGTCACATTTCTCTAGTCCGTTTGCTTTTATCACCGGCTTCGTATTGATAATTCCTTTGAGCTTCGTTCATAAATTTCTGATATAAATTTCTTTATTTTCGCCTTTTACAAATTTCAAAAATTCTTTCCAATCAGTTCTGTAAGATTTTACATTATTATGTAAAATCTTTTGAGTCAGTATGTCCATGTTCATTATATCCATTACTTTTATCACCCATTGCTCGACTGTTGGTATTTCCTTAGATCTCCATACTTTGGCCAAGGTCATTCTCGCAGCCATTGTTAGGTAAAAGAAGACCTTATCCATGTTCTTATCCACTTTAAAATCCGTGATCCCTAATAACAAGGATTCTGGTTTTGGATCTGAACTGATTTCAGAACTGATTTTTAATGTATAAAATAAGCACTTCAGTCAGAATGTTCCATTAAGCCAGTGGTTTTCAACTTGTAAGTCCCCAGATGTTTTGGCCTTCAACTCCCAGAAATCCTAATAGCTGGTAAACTGACTGGGATTTCTGGTAGTTGTAGGCCCAAACACCTGGAGACCCACAAGTTGAGAACCATTGCATTAAGCCTTCTACTGCAACCAGTGGATTGGATCCAGACAGTTGTTCATAGAATAGGTTCATTTAATTCAATTGGATTTAACTAGGAGTAAAGTAAATCCTTTGGATTTCAGTATCCTAAGTATGAATAAATCTGGATTCAAAACAGTAGGGTTTTTTTAAGATCAGGGAGTAAGTCTTTTGGCCTCAAATAATATAGCCAAGCAGAATGTTTTGACATGAAGCCTGCATTCAGAATCCTGCATCTATACTTAGTCTTTATTATCGGTCCCACTGCAGACTGGAATGCTATGCACATTTGAAAACACTATTACAGAGCTTCATAAGGAGTTAATGGCCTGCAGCCCAATGCCTTCACTGTCTTTGTTTCTTAAATGTTTTCGGTGTAACAAGTCTTTCCTTTGAAACTTAATTTCCCACAATATACACAACAGTTCTCCCAACTCTTTGTTAGCATGAGTTCAAGCTCCTCCCTATACTAAAATTCTACTTGTTCATCCCTCTCCCTTGTACCAATCTGGCAACACTTTTTTGTTTTCAATACTGTCAAAAAATTTCAAAACAATTTTCAACACTATCTACACTTTTTTTAAAAAAATGTGAAGACATTTTTAATGGTTAGCAGTTAGAATTGATCTGCATGTTCTGATACTGTTTGACATTTAAGCATGGTTCTTTAAAGATTGTTAAAGTTACACAGGTTTTCTTTTGAACAAAATGCTTCTAATCTAAATTGTCTAGAGAGTCTTTATCTAAATACAAAGTCCATGCTATATTTTGTTTGCAAGTGATTAATGATACCCTATAGTTCATGTATTTGGCTGTGAGTAAACAAAGCATGCCTCCATAAATTCTTAAGAATCGTTTTGTCTTCGCTGTTATCATTTCTATCTGGAAATAAAGGAAACTACTCCTATGAACAGATAGCTATAAAATAAGACCCTCAGTACAATTGCTAAGCCCATCTAGAGTAGACTCATTACTCCACTCATTACTCATTGCTGAATGGGAAATAACACTTATGTGACTATCATAGAATTACTGGGACTCGTAATTTAATTTTGGCTATACCAATTAATTTCTATAAGTTTTCGGGAGATTCATTGAAGAATACTCAAGAGAAGGGAAGGTCAACAGTGCTTTAGAATTAATCAGTAGAGGAAATATTCCAGTGTCAAATAAACATTCATAACTGCTGTTACCAGCTTTATAAATATGCAGGATCAGATTTCCACCATCGCTTACAGTCTGATAAATGTAAAGCACTTCTATTTGCATTGCTGAATTGGTCCCAAGGAATACTTCTTAGCTTTCAGGACAAGAAAGGATTGGGAGCTTTCTGGGTCTCAGAAGCAGAATTCTTGAGTTCAATTTGATGAGCACCCTAATGCTAACTATTATCATTGGACAGTCATTCTGCAGTGCCAAAGTAATTGCAATGTTTCTTGGTGCATCAGTAATGTCATCTCTAACCACATGATCCAGCACATCTACAGACAGGGTGACAGAGTGACTCCATTAAACCCACAGGGAGAAAAATCAGTAAAGATTAAGCTTAAATGCAGTTATTCATCTTAGAGTAGACACACCAGGTTAATTTGTTGTACTTAAATGTTGTATTGCCATTTGAGTATTTATTAAATGAGTCTTCTTTACTTGAGACTACCAATTAGATTTAAGATTTATAGTACTTGAATTCAAGTGCTACCATGCCACTCTGAACATACCTGATTTATCTGATTTTAAAAGGTAAGCATAGTCATGACATACTACCAGAGATCTCCAAGAAAGAATCCTGTCTAAAACTTTGGAAAGCTGTTGATGCTGCCAGAGTTGAGAAATACTGGGCTAGATGAAACAAGGATTTGACTCAGTGCAAGACAGCTTCCTACGCTTAGAATTAATTTGTGGATCAGACATGTAGGTTTAGATGACCACGCACGGGCAAACTTTGGCCCTCCTGGTGTGTTGGACTTCAACTCCCACAAAATAGCAATATCTATAACATACTAACTGTCCGGATTTGGCAGTTACTCCATGAATCATCAGTCATTCTACTTTTGTAGCTGCTTTAAAAAATATTCCATTTTCTCACCCCTCCTTCTATTTTCCCTGTGTCCTTAGCTTACTTCCTTTAATGTAAACTCAGTTGAAAGTCCATTAATAACTTTTGTCATTCTAATCACACCCTGAAGTTGTTTGGCCACATGCACTCCAATTTTCATCTGTGAAATGTGGGGAGTATGACATGCAGTTATATGCAACCTGAAAAACAACATACTTATCAATATAGAAATTCCTTTGAACATGAATTATAGTCAGCATTGCACCTGCTAACGCAACACCTCCTTCTATTTCTCTGTGGTTTTCCTCCACACCAGCTTAAAGTAATTAAAAAACAATTTCCATCCTTCAATTCAGTTTGGGGTATACTACACTTTAAAGCAGTGTTTCGCAAACTGTGCTCCTCCAGATGTTTTGGACTTCAACTCCCAGAAACCTCAGGCAGCTTAATAGCTGTTAGGAATTGTGAGAACTGAAGTCCACAACATCTGGAGGAGCACCATTTGAGAAACACTGCTTTAAAGAGTTGCTGTCTCATTTTAAATCCTGTGGCTGCCTTCTGCAGAATTCTGGGGTTTGTAGATTAGGAGGCCTAGGACCATTTTGGCTGAGAATATTAAAGGCCCCTCCCTAAAGTTGGAGTTGCGACCTTTTGTAAAGGCGCTCAGTACTTGGCTGTTTGGTTGTGCATTTAAGTAAAGTGATCAGATCTAATTTGCCAAATAGTCACTGTTGAATGTTTTTATGTTGAATGTTTTTATGTTGTGTAAATGCTATTTTAAATTGTAAGTCACTCGGAGCACCTTGGTGGAGAGTGACTAATTAAGAAATAAAGTGAAGTGAAGTAAACTGCAAAATCGACAGGAGGCGGCCATGGGATTTAAAGTGGCATGCCAGCTCTTTAACAGTAGCAGACATGGTCAAACTTTGGTCCTCTGGGTGTTTTGGACTTCAACTCCCACAGTTTCTAATAACCAGCAAACTGGCTGTCATTTCTGGGAGTTGAAGTCCAAAAACACATGGAGAGCCAATGTTTGACCATGCCTGGTATATTGTGATAATCTCATATAATCATTCATTGATTCTGAAAATGAAAGCATCTCACTATGGTCAAGTACAGCAACCTTCTCATTTCCCAGGCAGTAACAAGCCACACCTAAAAACTGTCAGGCCAACAAATGCTAATCAAGGTGGCCAACTGAAACATTCACACCTAGCTTCAACAGACAAGAGTTCTTTCTCCCACCCTGGACCTTCCACAGATATATAAAGCCAATTTTCCAGTTCCCAACAAACCTCAAAACCTCTGAGGATGCTTGCCACAGATGCAGGTGAAACGTCAGGAGGTAATGCTTCTAGAACATGGCCATACAACCTGAAAAACCTACAACAACCCAGTGATTCCAGTTATGAAAGCCTTTGGCAATACAACCTTCCTATTGTCTCAGTGTAGTTTATGGAGCTCAGTTTTCTTTGAGATAGCTTTTACTTTTACTTTGCCACCATGTTTTGGTGGAGCTAATCTATATCTATGTAAACATAGATATAGGTGTTGCTAACCTCTTCCCAAAGGAGTAATTCCAATGAAGCCCAGATAGTAATGATACATTCTCACTCATGAAAAGAGGTGCCTTGAATAAGTTCTCATTGTCCATGCCTACCTAGTTCTGCCCAAATGGACTATGCAGTCCAGTTCAACTTTAGAGTTGATGCGAGGCAGTCAATTAGTAAAGGCAACCTATAGCATGCCTATTGCTGGATTGGGATCCTAATTGTTATTCCATTCCATTTTTATGTATGGATAAGTGTGAAAAAAACCAAGCCATAAATATGTTTGCATGAAATAAAGCATTTGTTGAACTTTAAGATGTTTCTGTGATTTTACACAAACCATTGGTGGTCATTGCTAATCTTCAGAAATCTTGAAGAATGCCACATTATAGATATATTAAGAAGATCCACATGCATCCCACCCATTCCTTTTTTATTCAATGTTTGAATTTTATTTGTTTAAGAGTTGTAATTTGGATGACATGAAATGATGTGAGACTTTAGAGAAATAATTTGTCAAACTCAGTATCAAATTTTGAAACTTTGTTCTTCACATAGGGGCCAGATGGATTACCAATGCCTGGCTGTTGGCAAAAGGTGAGACTCTGAAAATATTCTTTGTAGTCCCTATATCTCACATACCATCAGGTGTCAATAGATAAAATGTGATCAGACAATTGAGGGGAATGACAAACCGTAAGGAATGTTTACATTTGTTCTCCTTTCGCACTTCAGTATCTCAGTCTCTTCATGAAAGTGGAGTTCTCAACCCTCCAGAACAGATTTTCAGGGATGTGAAGGCTGCAAGGAGAAGGAGAAAATAATGAAAAATATCTCCTTTCTTTTGTTGATGGGAATTGAAAACACACTTTTTTCCATTTCCCTCTTATCTAGCCACAAAATGTACACACTGTTGAAGCATCCATTTCAGTATTGCAATACTAACCTTGTTCAAATGTCTCTTTTTGTCTTTCTGCAGTGACGAATCTAACTTTGCAAGCATGAAGTTGTGTATATAACGCTCCACCTCTTGTATTTATAGTTGAAAATGGAATCATTGATTTTACAAGTCTGAAAATATGTTTACACATACCTGCTTCTACTTGTTTGCAGTAGTCCATGTGTACATCTATTCCTCACGTACATCATCAATCTGGCAAATATAAACTGTGTGACAAACTTGCAAAATCAAGTATTAGTCTTTCTACAGAGTTTACCTCTGTAGAGTGATTATTCATAGACACTTGTGTTGTTATCTGAATTTTTTCAACTTTTTTGTTTGTTTTGGCTTGTGGACCTGCATGGACAGCAAGTGCCATGAATTAGTTTACATGAAATTGTGACCAAATTTGAGCTCAGTACTATGAAATATACTGTAAATGATTGCAGTTGGAATATAGTGATTTTGTTTCCATATTCATTTGATAAACTCGTTATTACTGGGTCATTCCTGCCCTGCTCCCCATTTTCTTGTTCTAACTAAAATCAAAAGCATGACTTGTGTGCCAAAATAGCTTGCTGTGTGATCATCTTGTATGCTGAATGGTTGCTGGCTGTCCAAGTGAATTCAGGCATCTGAACTATTCTTTTTATCATCCCAAGGGAGTTACACCATGGCTCATTGCAAAAAAATGATAAGATGAGGAGTTTAAGACAATGGTCTTGAATTTGGAAGGAATTGCCGTTCCTTCCGATGGTGGATGGCTCTGTCTTCTGGGTTATGAAACCACCCTTGTCAGGAAAAGGTGATACCTGTTCATCAGCCTCCATTTGCTTGCACTGCTCACAGTCACAAGATAGCCATATTGGGTGAATTTCAACACAAGGCCCTGCTGATTATTTAACGAAGAAGAAAAGAAGATCTTGTTTTGTGAGTGGGATGACAAGTTGCAGAGAGATGCCAGATGGATTGTGTGAGGATGGATCTCCGTATCAACTGGAAGATGGCGGCTTTCTTCAAGTATTAGTACAATATGCATTTCACATATTGTATTTTGATATTATTCCATGTGGGAAGAATTCTTGACACAAGATACCATAAAATGCCTTCCCCCCCAAATGATGGAACAACGATGACTTTGTATGGCTTGCCATTTGGATTTTAGACATTCTTGGTGAAATGGCAACTACTTGTAGGATACTGGGAAATATATTTAATTTTATTTGTTTAATACTTCTGTTTGCTGACTTCTTCTTCATTCATTCTTATGGACACTTACTTTTTGAAGAGCACCCTGGTGTTCACCGCCTTTCAGTACTGTGTTTTTGGAGATCTGTTGAGTCTTTACTGATATAAAGCAAGTTGTTTGTCTTTTTTACTTGCTGATTTCTTAACATGTCTTTTTTCCTTCTGCAGTTAACATATTTTGCGGTCTCATACTCCAGAGGATGTGGAAAAGGGAAAGCAAAAATGGTTATTGTATGAAAGTTGCAGTCCATTGTAAATTTTAGCGCAAATATTTTCTTTTTTCATCTGCAGTTATGCAAATATTTACTTCACAATGGACTCAATTGAATTCACAGTCTAACTTTTGAGTAGACACTCTTAGAGTCCCATTGAATTTTGAACACATCTGTTCAACATTTTTATGTTTAGCTATATATACAAAAGGGACATTTGTAATCATTCTGTGAAAATAATTTATGTTGCATGATATACTACTTGTTTTAAAGAGTAATTTCATATTTCAATATGTTCATAATTTTTTTTAAAGGCTGACCAAAAATTTCATACACAAGTAAAATGATTTCAAAGGGATGTTTTCATTATGCAATCAAATTTCTGGAAATAAGTATTGGTTGCCTTCATTATCACGTGAGTTTCCTTTTGAAATAGATTATAAGATAACATTATCAAATGTTAGTTTCCTACTGCCTTGTAGCTGTGAATCAATATGAGATCAAAACCTTACTTATCATTTCCTTAAAATTCAAATTTAATTTTCAGAATGCCAGGGACATTGAAAGGATTTTTTCCCTGTTTTCTTTTTGGAAAAAATATCCCTTGGGGATTTTTTTTCCTCAGCAGCAGGTTTAAAAGTAAAGTTTTTCATCTTAATACTTCTAACCAAAGTTTCAGCAGTGTCCTGTGAGCAAAAGAGACCGTGAGGAGGATCAGATGCTCAGGGAAACCAGAAAAAAAGAATGCGTTTGCTAAATACTTTCTTTGCACTCGTGACTTTATTTTTGCTGTTAGCTGCCTCAGTTGCAGGATTAATGTTCACAACTTTAGAGAAATGAAATTGGTCAGATGATGTGTGCATGTACATATAAGCATCTATTAATAGGAAAACCAACTTGCAAATGAGATAGTGGACTTTACCTTGTGCAAGGAATCTCCCATTCATTTATGCTCCTGAGCCCCTTTATTCCATCCAAATCTCTTGCAGAGATTTCCCAGTCATTTCAAAAGACATTTTGGGGTTATGTGGGTGGCTGAACCATGAACTGAAAATCCATTTTGCCAGTGACGTCTTAGCAGATGAGCACCTCTGAATTTCACTCATAGTCTTCCAATATATTTATCTTTGAATCGCTTCTTTATAATTTGTGATACTTCTTGTTACATTCTGGTGTACACTTAATGCATACTTTTAGATCTGTTCAGATGTTGGACATCATTATGTAAGCAAAGAGCCTGTTAACTGAGCAATACATTCCAAACATAAATTTCCATAAGAGTTTTGTGTTGCAGGACATTAAAGCATAAGTGTTCCCATTTATAACTGCTGGTATTTTAAAACACTAAGGGCACAAGGCTTCCCTGTCTAGGTGCAGCTCCTGCTTATAGTCAGTTCTGTAGAGAGGAAAAGAGAGCTCTGTTGGTCCTCTGTACCCCAGCAGACAGGACATCAACCATGGAGAGTCTATGAATGCTTTTCGTATCCCTATTCAACTCTGGATTTTAGTGCTCAAATTTAGCTTAGAATTTGGAAAATTATTTGATTACAGCTAACCATGCTTGCTAGAGAGGATTCTTATAGTTGCAGTCCAAAAGTAATGTTTCAAGTTTTTCACTAGCTGTGTTCACATTACATGGAGGGATGTCTAAGAGAACTGCACAGTTTACATTGTTTGTAGTGTCCTACCATCATGTGGCTTGCAAACTGAGGATAAAGAACCAACCACTGTTGAGTTCATTGAGAAACCCTTGGCACATGAATGAGATGCTCTTGCAAGGAGAAGCATAATAATAAATCCAATCTGTCCTTAAAGGAACAAATAATTGGGTATCAGTCACTAGTTTCAAAATAAAATTAATCTTGTTTAAGGTGTGGTTATGAATTAATCCTTCTCTGTCCCCAGCTAATGCAAGAGATTTTGTCTTGTGCAGAACATGTCCTAGTTTCCCTTGAGCGTGGACAGTCTTTGAGCTGATATAGATACAGCAATTTGTTGTTATTATGTTCCTTCAAGTCAATTCAGATTTAAGGCATCTCTAGCTGGTTGATAGCAGTCTGTATTCTGCTGGCCCTCAACTACAATGATAACAGGAAATATTAGTAGCCACATTGAGTATCTATACCTGGCAATAGTTGGGTTGTTTTCTTCTCCTTTAATAATTTTCCATTCATTTGATGCATCTGCATAATGCAGGTTACTCATTAATTTGTATTCACTGGAGTTAATTAAAATGCTTTTTGTTTCATGGGAGGAATCAGCAATGTCTTAGTAGATTTGCATTGTCATTTATCACCTGTAGATTTTAAATAAGAACAGATGAGAACGTGGTGCTTGATTCATTAAAGGATCAAATAATGAAACTCTATCATCCATAGGACAACATGTAAGCCCCCCTCCCCTCTAAGGTTGGAAACAGAGCTCTGATTTGAAAAGCAATTATATGCTTTCCTGATTCCAAAAAGTAGCCTATTTGTGAAAAGTCTTGAAGAAGAAGATTCAAAATATTTCTGTATTTTCTATGCCATTTCAGGTATGACATAGATGAAGTGGGCAAGGTTTCCATTCTGGGCATTTCTCTCTATATGAAGGGATAATTAGACTAGTAGATCATGGGAATGAAATGGTATAAAAGGATGAAAAGCATAAAATGATGCTTTGGAAATGTCATAGTGCTCCAACTTCAGAATGTCCTGATACAAGACTATACAATCATATTCTAAGCACTTGCAGTGCCTTTGTGTTGTTCTTTAAGGATTGTTTTGGTGCAACCAAAAAGCCCCTTCTTTTTTCAATATTGCTGATTCACGTTGCTGATTAGTATTGCTGATTTAGGTTATTATTGCACTTTTAGTAATTTGTAGATTTTATGAAGTGATCTATTTTTCATATCAAACATTGAAAAATGCCCTGAGCTTATTTAAGTTCTGCTTCTCTTGCGTGTGTGACTGTTATTTTTCCTTGCATATTCTTCCCAACTATTATCTGGTGCCAGATTTCATGGATATGTTTTCCTTAACAAAGCTATATAATGTCTGGAAACAACATGTTTCAAATTAACCTTTCTTTAAATGCCACAAGCTTTCCTTTAATCTCCATAAACAGGAGAGTTGTATCTATCCAATTGCCTCAAAGACAGATAATTGTAAAGGATAGGTTAAAACCCACAATCCTTAGATCATTAGTAACTAAACATTTTTTCCTCTAATCTATTTGTAATTTTAGAAATTCTGAAAGTCATTACAAAGACTAGGAGACTAGGTGATCGAGTTCTCTCTGATGTATCTATTCAAAATTAAGGTCATCCAAATTCAAAGACTCCAATTATGTGCCCCAGGCTCTTTTGGGTTCCCCGCCCCCCATTCTGCTGATATAAATACAAGCTGAATGTGCAGATAATATGCTCTGTTTCATTCAAATCATATCCATGTTCATCACCACATAGAAGCTCTATGTGTATATCAAAATCTCCAAGTTATATTTGTTTCTCATTTCCTCATTTTTCTTATGAAAAATATTGAGGAAACAACTCTTTGTTTGCCCATATAATGACTACATGTCCTACAAAGAGGTGTAATACAGTATAGTCTCGCTTATCCAACCTTCATTCATCCAACATTCTGTATTATCCAACACAGTCTGCCTCCTGCCCGGATCCACAGCTGATTTGAAATATTGTGATGTTTTGGTGCTAAATTTATAAATACAGCAATTAGTACATAACGTTACCATGTATTGAATTGCTTTTTTTGTCAATTTATTGTAAAACATGATGTTTTGGTTCCTAATTTGTAAAATCATAACATAATTGGACGTTTACTAGGCTTTTCTTAATCCCTCCTTATTATCCAACATTTTTGCTTATCCAACGTTCTGCCAGCCCGTTTATGTTGGATAAGCAAGACTCTACTGTTCTTTGTTTCCCAAAGTCAGTGTCATGCATAATAATGAAAAGACTTCAGAATTACAGAGAACAAGAAAGATATCTGCTAGGCTTTACAATTGCATTCTTTTCATTGTTTGTTGGCTTTTTGTTTGTTTTAAATTTAATTTTGGTGCAATACAAAGTCCACAAATGCTATGGTTGTTGAAGAACCAAGCAAGCAACAATTCAGTAGTGTACTTGTAGGTCCTGATTCACCATTTGGGATCAATGGATGAAAGTCTGGTCTATATTTGCGTAATGAGAATAATTTGTTTGGTTCGGTTTGTTTTGTATAATATTCTGTAATTGTGTGTAATTATTTTTGAGCATAAAAAGTGCACAAATGGTCACACCCAGTCACAAGGTGGGACAGCACACATTGTTTTTGCAAACTTTCTAACCTCCATTATGTGATTTTTGTACAGTTGCATCAATACATCCATATCATTTTGTGTCTTTTTATTTTTCAAACCAAAAGTGACTTTTTTAAAAAGTATGAAAAGTATGCTTTTAACAGTGGTCAGCAATGAGACCTACTTCTTATATCAGTAATAACACCATCATTTTCCTTTATTTTTATTTATTTTTGTGTGGTCTTTCAGTTTTGATCCAAATGACTTTGAAAACAAGATATGTTTCTCAAAACATCCAGTATTTTGGGTACATTTTATTTGAAAAAATATGTCTGCTATCTTGATTTCGGACTTTTGATGTCTTGATGTAACAGTATCACCCAGACAAGGGATGTTTAATAAAATGAACCTACCAGTATTAGGAGATGGGAGTGCATTGGCATTTTTTAAACTGTTATTTGAAGCAAAATCTGTTTTTTATGTGCAAAAATATAATTGTCTTTCTCTGGAGAACAGGGAGCCTTATACAACCTGGAACCCTCGGCATTTACCTCTTTACATTGAGTTGAAAATCAGGTCAGTCACATAGTACTGATCTGAGGTGCTCTGAAAGTATTTGACTGGGGAAGACTTTACCGTTGAGGTTGGCCACAATCCCTTGTGCAGTTTATCCTGTGCAAAACCCAATGAAATGAACGGGAGGTAGATTGTTAACAGATTATTGTGTACTTTTCATAGATTTGTGTATGGCTTGCACAGGACCACTTGCTATTGAAATGTGCCTGTTCATTGAGGATATGATGCCATTGTACATGTTTGGGAATTATAGTATCATGCAACTTTGTAACTTTTTTTTAAAAGGTGTATGTATCTATTATATTCTTTTGGAAAATATTATATTTTTATTTGCATTTTTTTTACTTTTTTTCAAATTGTATGTGTGATTATTTTCATACTTCATAATGGTCTCTTTAGAGGAGAGAACAGCCTGCAATTTTGGGGTGAATTGTCACTATCTGTACGATACATCACACAGGTCATGACTCATGCTGAGCGTCGTATCACTGTAAAAAATGGTTGTGTAAATATTTCAAGATGTAAATCACCGTTTCTTATTTGTTACACATCTCTACTTTATTGTGGCCTCTAGTTCAGGCTTAATTCAAGACCGAGCATCATCAAATAGTATGAATTGTTTCTTCTTTTTTCTTCTTTTTTTATTCCCCTGGTTTCTTCTTTTCTTTTTCTATTTTTTCCAGTTATTTGAGTTTTGTATTTGTTTTTTGTTCCTAGCTTGTGAGAAGTTGATCTTCAGAATTATTTTTACACTATTTATGACTTATTTTCATAATGTAAAAAGTGTGTAATTATTAAACTCTTAATCTTACCATTCAGGCTGGTGTGCATTGCTATGAAATCTTTTCTTTGGTCTTTCCAGATCTTAAACATTAGTCTCCCATCTAAAAAAAGGTTACATCTTACACAATTTGGTATTCTCTGAATAGTGCCTTCCTTAATGACGCACTGTGAAAAACGATTAATGTGAAAATGTTATTGGCTTGAACATCTTTTTTCTTCTCAATTACTCATGAATTGCATTAGATAGCAGTTGCCTTTGGCCTAGAATATGGAATTTTATCAATCCACGTCTGCAAAATATATATTTAGGTACATATTTGTGAATACAGCAGTGGTTCCCTACATTTTTTTGACCAGGGACCACTTTGACCAGTGACCACTTTGACCAACAGCCACTTTGACCAGGGATCACTCTCCAACATTAGTACCAAAAGGGTTATGGATCAGTTTTTGGTCAACTTTAGATTTGGTTTGGTTATTTGGGATGCTGGTTCAGAAAACTGCATTGGATAGACCACATCAGCTCTAGTTTCTGATACAGAACATATGCCATCCAGTAATTGCCAACTGTTCACCCACAGAAAACCATATTTAATAATCTAGAGCTGATGTGGTCTATCCAAGGTGGTGGGGCTGGTCAGTGACAGGGAAGGAGTAGCAGGCAGCACAGAAGAAGTGGAAATTAAATAAATAAAAAGGAAGGAGGCTCGCAGACTAGATTTTTGTCTTCATGGCCCACTGATAGTCCATGGCCCTAAGGCAGGTGTCCTCAAACTAAGGCCCGGGGGCCAGATGTGGCCCTCCAAGGTCATTTACCTGGCCCTCGCTCTGGGTCAACCTAAGTCTGAAACGACTTGAAAGCACACAACAACAATCCTATCTCATCAGCCAAAAGCAGGCCCACGTTTTCCATTGAGATACTAATAAGTTTATAATTATTTAAATTGTTCTTCATTTTAATTATTGTATTGTTTTAAGTGTTTTTTCCACTACAAATAAGATATGTGCAGCGTGCATAGGAATTTATGTTTGTTTGTTTTTTCCAAATTATAATCCGGCCCTCCAACAGCCCTCCAACAGTTTGAGAGACTGTGACCTGGTCCTCTGTTTGTGGACCCCTGCCCTAAGGTTAAGAACCAATGGAATACAGGTATTCCAAAATCCACAAGATTTTGGGTCCCAAGTCATTTCAACCTTTATATGATACAGTATCTCAACTCTAGTGGTATTTACAAAAACTATCAAAATGTCAGTTTCCTTGTTTTCATCCAGAAGAGCATCAAAATTCATTCCAGGCTCCCCCACATCTACTCAATACAATATACTGCATTAATCACATGCTGTAAACCACTGTCAGAGGTTTTATCGTTATATTTTCTTTTCCTCATTCAATATAAGTGTTAGCATTTCACAGAGTCTTCAAAAGACTCCTTCTCAAACATCAAACTCTGGAGTTTTCAGAGACTTTTTGACTGTTTATACTAATTGGCCAAGACTGCATTTATAATCTAACTTCCCAACATCTACAGTTTTTTCATGAAAGATTTTGAAACACAGTTAGTACAAGAGCTTACATCTAGCAAACTGCCTTCTGATGTTTTGTTCTTTGTCATACAAGTTTTCCAAAGAGTAAATTACTTAATGGCAAAGCCATCCTTATTTTTAATCTTTCTTTGTGTGTACATTTATAATAATTGCACTGCAATGAAGATTCAATGAGAACCTGAAGAAAACTCACGCTTTGTTCCACTAAAACTCACTCACATATTGCCATCTAGTGGCTCAGTCATTTTAAAAAAATGATCTCCAATTTGTGTGTTCACCATCTTTCATTGATGTAATGAAGCTTAGTTTGTCAACAACGTCATCACTGCTGGTAAAAAGGTGCACTGTTCCAGACTCCGAAATTTAGATTTGATGACCCATGTTTAGAACAATTTTTCACACTCTAAAAACCATATTTATGGGCATGTGCAAAATTTATGTGAAAGAATACCAGTTTTTAATTGATCAGAACTACATCTGATAAAGATTTTTAATTCTTAAATTCCTCAGAATGAAAGGCAGCATGGTGTAGTGGTTTGTGTGTTGAACTAGGATTCCAAGAAATCAGAGTTCAACTCAGTCATGGAAATTTATCTGTTGACCTCAAGCAAATTACATTCATCCAGCTTGCCTAGAGAAAGGCAACATCAAGCCCCCTCTGGATAAAACTTGCTAAGAAAACCACGTGATCACTTTGCCTAGAACAGTGGTTTCCAAGTAGACCACCAGTAGTCCGCAAGAACTAAAATTAGCTCAGCAACCTCACCATTACTACACTGTTTCAATAAGAGCAACTGGTCTTGCAAAACCCTCTTATAGTGCTAAGGCTTATTAAATATGGTTTTCTGTGGGCAAACAGATGGTGTCTACTGGATGGCATATGTTCTGTATCAGAATCAAGAGCTGATATGGTCTATCCAGTGCAATTTTCTGAATGAGCACCCCAAATAACCAACCCGAATCTAAAGTTGACCAAAAAACAGATTCATAACCCTTTTGGTAGTAATGTTGGAGAGTGGTCCCTGGTCAAGTGGTCCCTGGTCAAAAAAAAAGATTGGGAACCAAAGTTGACCAAAAACAGATTCATAACCCTTTTGGTAGTAATGTTGGAGAGTGGTCCCTGGTCAAGTGGTCCCTGGTCAAAAAAAAAGATTGGGAACCACTAAGATCACCATGAATTAGATATAACTTGATGGCACTCAACAAAATGCAGAGTAATAAGAGGATTGTTTTTCAGTGTCCTCTGTACCTTGTATTCAAATGATGTTTATTACAAGACATATGGAAGAATAGCCAGCAGATGGAGCACAAAGAGAGCATTAGGCTCAGTGGGTCTGTGTCGGCACCTTCAAGTTCCTTGTCAATTTATAGTGAACTCATTGATTTCATTGTCTTTTGTTTTTGCAAGGAATACTCAGAGGAGATTTGCAACTGTCTTTAGGTGTGTTAACATTGGAGAATGAATGCAGTTTGACATCACTTTGACTGCCATTGCTCAATGCTATGGAATACTGGGATGTGTAGTTTAACAAGGTCTTTAGCCTTCTCCACCAAAGAGAAGAGCTAAAGTTTTACGCCTCACCAAACTGCACCTCCCAGAGTTCTATAATATTGAGCCAAGACATTTAAAGTTGTGTCAAGTGGCATTAATTAGACAATGTAGATGCACCCTGTGTTTGCCATACACTGTAATTAGTGGTTATAATACAACACACCAAACTACAGCTGGTCCAAAGTTCTGTGGCCAGATTACTAACGGGAGCGAGTTACATGGAGCAATCAACCCCTCTGTTCAAACAGCTCCATTGGCTGCCAATAAGTTTCCAGTACCAAGTGCAGGTGATTACCTACAAAGCTCTAAATGGTTCAGGACCTATCTTCGCGATTCATCTTCCCCCATGAACCAGCACGTACTTGAAGATCCTCTTGGGAGGCTCTTCTCTTGTTCCCACTGCCCACGGTTGATGGGGACGAGGGAGAGAGCCTTCTCTGTGGTGGCCCCTCAGCTCTGGAACTCTCTTCCTAGGGAGAGTAGACAGGCTCCCACTCTCTCCATTTTCCACAAGGAATTAAAAACTTGGTTGTTCCATTGTGCCATTGACTAGGTGGTTCACTTGAGAAGTATCCCGACCTTATCTAAGCTCCAGCACTTTGGTTGGCCCCTTTCCTGTACTTATGACATTTTAATAGCCAAGGGCACTACCCTAGCAACCCAGCCCTTGGACTATTGCACTTTCCCTCAGCTCTCCCAAGGAATCCTCACACTTACTCTGAGCCTGAATCCAGTTTAAAATTGGCCAACCAGGGTATTGTTTTTATAATGTTAATTAATTTTAATGTTTTTATTATTTGTTGTTATTGATTGTTTTTACTGTGTCTGTTATATTTGTAATCCTTGGGCTTGTCCTCTGTAAGCTGCCCCAAGTCCCTTCGGGGAAATGGAGGCAGGGTATAAAAATAAAGTTATTATTATTATTATCATTCAAAAGGCTTTTTACCAGATAAGAATATTGTTGTAGAGTCTGCCAGCCCTATCCTCCTGATTCCTTCTATGTTTAACTACAAAATACTGACAGTCGCTGGAGGGAGAATGGATTTTTGTTGTTCCCCCACTGGCTGTCAAAAGCTACTGGTTTGCCAATCATTGTCACATAATGGAAAACCACAGCGTGGTGGGTGGGTGAGTGGGTGGGAATTACCAGACAGAACTTTCTGTGTTCTCAAGAATGAATATAGCTGACTCTTCCAACTGATTCCTGAATGAAATTACTTTTTGTCTCAAAAGTGCCCCAGAAGCGTCTGTAACTGCCATCAGAGGACCAATATTGGTAGTTATGTGTTTCCAGTGTGAAAACAGAAATATTATGTCTGCCAGGTGGCAGATTCATTTAAAGGTGTCACTATGCTACAAAGCTCTTGCTTTTAGGTACACACACAAACATGCGCACAAGCCTCTACACTGACTTTTGAAAGCAAACATCTTTTATTGTGAAAATTTTGGCAACAGACACAGACTAGCTGACCCTTTTTTGTTCTGGGTGTGCCAATACTGAACTTCTCATTAATGGCCTTCTTATTTATGGCAAGCAAGGTCTTGCCTGTTTGCTTATGGTAAAACATGCAGTGAGATCCAGTTAATGATAGTTAAGATGACCCTCCTACTGTGTTCAGTGGGATTACAATTGGTCCTCTGTATCCACAGGTAGTGTATGATTCACCGTGGCATCATTCAGTAATGAGGGGCTGAAGTTTTCTGTCTGATAATTTGAAATAGAGTTGGCCTTCCAGATCCAAGGATTCTGTATCCAAGAATCCAATTATCTACAGTAGAGATCCTCAAACTTTTTAAGGCGAGGGCTGATTCACAGTCCCTCAGACTTCAATGGGAAGTGTTTTCTTGGTTTGGCTGATGAGATGGTCAAGTTAATTAGGGCTGTTGTTGTCATGACAGTCTTAGGGCAACCTTAAGTCTAAAGTTTAGGG